CATTTAACAAGTTCTGTGCTGCAATTTCTTTATGCTATTTGAGACCGACAGCATTTCAAGTAACAAGTATTCTTTTAATAACCTCTATCTTGTTAAAGGGCAGGAAGAGATATTATTATTTCTTTTTAAACCTCATTTTGTAATGTTTTTAATAAGGCTACTGGAATGTTTTTTAAATTTTGGGTAAAATGTTCATTAAATTCACAAAATTTCGAATTTCAATAGCAAAATACTATGAGTTTGATGTTTTATCCCATTTGCTAATAATGGCAGCTATTTACACATTTCGTATGTTCTGTGGCAAATTCATGTGCATGAAAAAACACTAATTTGAGCTTTTTTATTAGCTCTTCAATTACTTCTGTAAATTTTTTTGTCTTCTGTAATTTGTTACTTTAGTTACATTTTCTAAATGCAGTGGATCTTATCTAAAGCCACAATCTACAGTTGCAAACGAATTTAACCTTCTGTATAAGTGATCGCCTTAGAAAAATGACATTCGGTAGCCATGTTTCTTAATATACTGATCACTTTTAGAAGTGGTCTAAGGTAGTTTACACGACGGAGTTCACTGAACATGGTACTTTCTTGTTATAGAAGAGACTTGGCGTAACTGTAGGGGACACTAGGATTTCAGTTAGTTAGTCCTATTTTATTACTGTCCCACAAACTAAAGTGGAAATTATAGATTTTACATAATATTACACAAGAAAATTTTGCAGTTACTTGAAAGCATAAAACAGTGAGTACAGTGTTATCCTTCCCACAGATGGATAGGCGCTATAACATTGATAATGAGTATTTAACTATTATTAAGTACAAAAGGAGTTTTATATTAAATACCTAAATTGCAATATTTAGATTTATTTTCTGGATGGCATTGTTCCGTCTTTAAAACAGAATAAAAAGATACAAAGCCATTTCAGATAATCATTTTTTCATTCAATAAGTAGATTCTTCATTTTAACCTATATAATTCTTCATTTTAACCTATATAAGTGATAGATAACTGACAAATAGAATGAAAAAGAATCATTTGAGATGCGCTAAATGTTTTAATTGAACTGTTCAATATTTCTATTTTTCATGATTTATTAACTTTCAAGAAAAATGTCTGGATGAAAGTTATGAATAGATACTCAAAAGAATGTAATCATTTCCTGAATAAAAATTTCATAATTCAATCATTTATGTATAATTTACTAATTTGTGTTTTGCATAAAATGCTTTATTTGTAATATCAGTTCCCTCACTGTTATTGGACGGTTGTTGCAGCCCTCAATTCAGCGATCCAACTCATCCTAGAGATTCTCGATAGCGTTCAGGTCTGGGCTTTGGGCAGGCCAATTAATTCGGTTAACTCCATACTAATCCATGGTGGACCTCGCAACATGATAGCTCGCGAAGTCGTCGTGAAAGTAATATGGGTCCAACCAGTAAAACTGCCGGAACGTAGGAAGCACATTGTCATCCAAAATAGTGCAGAAGGCGTCAGCATTGAGTTTAGCATGAATTTTGACCAAAGTCTCAGTCCATACAAAGAAAAACACCCCCAAATCATAATTCCATCTCCGCCAAACTTTACGGTGGGCACAATGCATTTGCAGGAGGCGTTCTTCAGGCAGACAAAGAACTAAAAAACATACAGCGACTGCGTTACGGGGACCTTGTAATTGAAACTATTTCTTGTACTCAATCTATATTCTTTCTTCGTTTCACCAAATTTGGGACTGTGGAATTTTCTCTTTCAGCTTAAAAGGCACTAATTACTGCTGTAGAGTGATTTCAGAAGATAGACCTTTCTATTTTGGAAGAAGATTTCATGCCTGAACTCTCACATCAAAATGTCTGTGCTGCCAGAATAAGCAAGATGCATAAAAAAGCATGCTTTGTATCAATCAGCATCAGCTGATTGATACAATGCACGCCTATCCGGCTCTTTATCACGCCTGATTTGTCGAAGAATTCAAAGGCTGGTTATTTATGGCGTTCTGTAAGATCCTATATTCCAAACTCAGTGCGATTATACTAGTGCATTTTTGTCATTCCATTTTTTATATCCTGTCATGGAAGCCCTACATGTGGGTAATGGGTTATGAGAGTGAAAACTGCATTGCTGAGTCACTGTGTACTAACTGTAAGGTGACCACACAAAAGTTTCTAGATTCTGCCTTAAGTGAAAATCTGAGAAGCAAGTTCACTTCACCAAAGTGAGGCAAAACATTTCTTATCCAGAAGCTAGAAGAATAATATCAAGTGTTCAGCCCTAACAAAATACACTATATGCCAAGTTAAATGCACTGAATCAATAGCCACTCAAATAGATATTAGTATATAGCAAAAGGTTTCTTCTGTAGAGACAACAAAAATTATGGTCATTTCCAAAAACACAGACAAAAAAAAAATCAATCAAAAGACACAAAAGAAATAAAAAATACAAAAACAGTACAAAACAAATTAAAACAACAACAAAAAACGCTCTGGTGAAAATCTGAGCTCTGATGGCATAGATTCCGAGATGGCTATAGAGGACATACTGGAAGTTTCGACACATCTCTTTTCCCGTCTGAAGAAAATACAACGCAGACGAAATAAGATTCATAATGGTTATCATTATCTCTTGGAATTATCATTGTTTCAAGAAAAAAATGTTCTTCATATAAAAGACCCAGTCAGTTCACGTGATTCTATCTGGTCTGCAGCTCAAGAAACTTTACTAAAACCTGAACAATAGGATGAAAGTATCTCGTAAATAGCTTATAAGGTATTTCTCCCACCATCCTAGCGTGCCTTCGTGTGTAGTGGTTCTGCATGCTGGACCAGCATTCCAGAAGTCCGTGGCTCGATTCCCGGCGAAGGCGGTTGCTTATTTTTCATCTCTCTGGCTTCGAAAAATTTCTAATGTCGCTACAGTGGCGCCCGAACTAAAAGGGTGTTGGATGAGAATTCTCCACACCCAGGATTGGCGATTGGGTCCCATAAAAACACCAGTCGCTCTTTAAAAGGGGAAGTATATAAAGTATTTCTCCCACCTTCCTAGCGTGCCTTCGTGGTGTAGTGGTTCTGGCCGGTATTCTAGAGGTACGTGGTTCGATTCCCGGCAAAGGCGATTCCTTGTTTTTCAACTTTTTAGCTTCGAAAAACTCCTAATGTCTCTACAAGCTTAGTGAAAATATCTCCGAAGTTACGACTGAACTACAGCTAAACTTTCGGAAGTAAATTTTTTCAGAAACGATAAACAGCCAATGTTGAGCATGTCAGCGGTGATGTAGATCTTCTATCCTGGTTGAACTATTCTTCTTCTTTCAACTTTCCTCCAAGCTTTTGCTGATCAAGTTAATATAAGAATGCTCATTTCGGAATGTTCGATTTATCAATGTACATATTGCAGCAGGATTTAGAAAATTTCATTGAGAAGCTGCCTGTTCCGTTCATATTTGAAGGTGATTCAACGGCCACAATCCGCTTTGGGGAAAGCAAGACAAAAACTCAAGTGGCAAGAGAGTCAAAAACTGCAAAAGAAATCTTGGGGAGGGTTTCGCCAGTACTCTACATTGTTCAGTCTAACAGCCTGTCAAGAAGCAAGCCGGTCATGTCGCATCATCGGTCGTGACTGGAAGTCATATTGCATGAGGCTTGCTCAGTACTGACTTCGGAGTTAACAATTTTGTATTATGCTTTTTCACACATATCAAATGTGTGTCGAAAAGGTTCATAATTTATATTGACTCGTATACTACGCTGGAAGCTTTGGAAACATTATCTGACACTCACAACTCTGTAATTGTGGAAGTTCTAAAGCTAAATTTAACTTATGGGAGCGTGGCTATCAGATGTTGTACTGATGAGTGCCTGGACATTGTGGGAATAAAGGAAAACGAGCTGCCTGCTAAGTCCGCCGTTGATCTGTGTAGTCAGCTTTTTCCGTTTAGAGTTATCCAAGGTATCATCCAACAGTAGGTTCTAAGAAAATGACTGCTACTATGGAATGTTGAGATCAGTAGCAAGCTTAAATGTGTAAAACCTCTGGTGGAATACTGGGCACAACCAGAAGCCGGAAACAGAAGGTCCTTTTAACTGGTCTTAGAATTGGTCGCTGTCGAACTACATATAATTACCTTCTGAAAGCTGAGAGTAAATCTACTTGTTCAAAGTTTAATGCTTTTTTATCAGCTCGTCATATTTTTAATAGAGTGCGCGTATTTTAGGGAAATTCATTAAAAATATTTTAATACCTATGACGTACCTCTTCACTGTTTGATAGTGGTGAATGTTAACTTGTTTTCATATTTGATTTTATCATTTAATTTGATTAGTTTTACAGTTGTTTAGATGCTCTAGATATTTAAAAATGTGTTGTGTAGCATTATTGTATTTTTCTATTAATCGTTCATGTTTTAATCATTCTGTTTATTAACCTCCTTGTTGTTACCCTGAACATATTTTAGTACGGTTTTTCTATATATATACGTATTATAAATTGAAAATTCTTGCCATCTATCTGCCGCATTATAACCTTTATAATTATGCTCTTTGAATCTAATAGCCAACCACCAGCTAACCCACTACATCAATTATGCAGTATTTCGCATAAGTGAAGTTCCTTAAGTGGAATTTTGCTGCAAGTTTTATCGTTATTATAAATAAATAATTATTTCAGTCAAAATAAAAGAAGGAGTACTTGTTTAAAGTAGAAGCACTAGTTTTTAAGTCTAAAAAAGCTGAAAGTTATCATCGCTTGTGCTGGAAAATTTTGATTTAGAACTGCTCTTAAAGAACGAGGTTGGTCGAAATATTACTTGGTTTTGGTTTATTTGATTTTTACAAAGCACGCAAGAGCTATAAATAGATGCCTTCGTGGATGGTTAAAATATACACTAGCATCTTTAAAATTCAGTGAATCTTCTTCACATAAAGAATAAAATGTTTGAGAAATTAAGAGCTGAATTGAGCCCGAGCACATATAAATTTCATTTGCATTGACATGTATTGATACTTACTTATGTGTATTTGAGAGCGGTAATTTGAGTTTAGCAATAGCATCATGAACAGAAATTTCTTTCTTCTCTTGAATGTTTAAAATATTTGGAGAATTTACCAAATTCTGGAAAACATGAACAAAAAGTGACATTGTAAATGATGATAAGTAAATAAAAAAGTATTTTATTATAACAGACTTAATACTTCTTAATATTTACCTGAAGTGTAGGTATCAAACTTTCGGGATTCATGCCCCAGGATTCAGAATATAAATCAAACTGAGGATGGAAAAATATTTAATGAATTTTTACTTCATGATTTCCCACTACATAGTTTTTAATTATTAGGAAAAAACTATAGGAGGAATTCAAAATTAAGTACATTTAGAAGCATCAACAGCCACTGGCCTTATTTAAACCGAAAAAGCAAATCGAATAAAACTTCTTTAATATTATTTTTCGGTTTAATATAGCGTCCTACAGGTTCAGGGCCCTCTCGTGAGAAGAGTCAAATTTAGTTTAGTATTTGAAGCAGTACGCAGCTGACGTTTCATACGTTCGCTTGTCCCACCTTGTCTGTGCTAATAGAGCACTTAACTTGTAATGCAGTACATTATGTAAATAATTAAAAATTTTGTGTGACTCAGCTTAGTTAGCATTATTTCGAACCAGTGCCATCGTTGCTCGCACTTATACCAAACATAAATTGGACCGCTCGCAGAGTTAATTTTGTTTTTGTTAACTAATAAGTTTACAATAGTATTACAATAGTATAATGGCTACTATAGTTGCATTAAATCAAAAGAAGGGATCACTCAGACCGCAGTTAACTAGAATAGATACTGTTATAGCGGATAATTCCAGCACATGGAGCTCAAGTCCTTAGAAAAAATATCAGTTGGCAGTAGATAGCCTTCGAACGGAGTTACTTTACACAAACAATAGTTGTAAAATAAAGTTACCTGAAATTCTACTTTCTCGGTTTAACGGAAGGTATGAAGAGTGGAATATGTTTAAAATTGAATTTAATAATATTGTTGCCTTGAATACTTAATGAACAGATGCACAAATTCTGCATTATCTGCAGGCCATCCGTAAAAGAGGTTAGAATATTTTAGCATTTATGCACACTTTCCAGATTTTCACTAGTTCTCGATCAACGGGATAATATCGAAGATTTTTCACTGCATGCTTCACATTTGCATACTTAGCGCTAATGCTGTGTCGTCTTGGAATCTCCAATTTCACTCCTGTCTTCCAACGCAAGGAATTTCAATTCTTTAACCCTAGGTCAAAATATTTGGTAAGGTAAGTAACGGGATTATTTACCGCAACTTCATGAGCGAACGAAATGGTAGTTTGAAAAAGATAACTGTAAATCCGGAACTATAGTGCTCGTGAAGGAACACAACTTGCCTATTTGCTACCAAGTTTTAGGTCAAACTGAAGAAGTGTTACCCGGATTAAATAAAAGAGTTAAGATAAGTTACGCACTCTAAAGGGTCTTTTTAAAACGCCTGCCACAAAATTAAGTATTTTACCCCTATACGACAACAATAAAATGTAAAATTTTCATATTATGGATGGACATTATTCATTTTAGTACAAGGTTAATATTTTTATGTGTGACATTGTTATTATTATACGCTATTGAATTTTATCGTAATAATTTGTGTTAAATTGTATCTCAGTGTGTATTTCATATGGTACATGTAAATTTAATTGTAAATTTATATAGAATAATTTAAACTCGTTTCAGTGGGGGCCGGACTGTTCGGTTTAATGTAGAGTCTTCTTGTGAGAGGAAACAAATTTAGTTCAGTTAGTAGCTGAAGCAGTACGCAGAGGACCTGTGGTACGTTAGCTCATCCCACTTTATCTGTGCTAATACAGCACTTAACTTATAATGTTGTACATTATGTAAATAATTAAATATTTTGTGCGGCCTAGCTTCGTTAGTATTATTTAAAACCAGCGCCATCATTGCTCGTACTTATACGAAACAATTATGTCAGACAGATTCATCCGGTTTTTGAATATCCTTATATGAAATGAAATTCTATATTACTTTGAACAGTGTCATTGTAAACCACTTTAGCCATAGAATTCACTTATTATATTTATGTGAGCTCACAACTAGTACTTGCTACATGCTTCATATATAAAAAAATTACACAGCGTGTTATGGTATTGGAATAACGTTTCCGAAATGGTTCAGAAGCCATGATCGTCTCAAAACTTTTAGTGTACCTTTATTCTGTAATACAAAGGACTAGTAATATAATTAAAGAAGTGAAAAGAAAAATGTTGAAATTTTTCCCCAAGCCTTACAAGTTTTCTCTATTTATATCTATTCTTAGTGTCACTGCAAGTGCTTATTCTGCAATTTTGTTCCATTCATGCTCCTCCCACCAAGTCTGGCCTCCTGAGTTTATTGTCATATAGTAGATTGTTTTAATTTCTTTATAATCGTTTAGCAATTACATGAGACTATGACCAACACTTCTTGCAGATCAAACTGCAGGGCTCTTGTTCCGAGTATTTTTCAAACAGTAGCTTTAATTTCAGTCAGATGTTTTCTGAGAAACGAGTGAGGCCTTAGAGCTACCAATTATAGCCCAAATTGTGAGTGGGCAGGTAGATCCATATGACATAAGGCCAATGTTAAGAACAAATTTTTGTCTTGTATTTGTCGAAAACATAGTGAAAGTGAAGCAACACATTTCCCAATTAGTTTGCAGGGATTACAAGCATTGATGGAATGATCATGGCCAGGATTGAATTACAAGATAAACATGAGTCACAAGTAGCTAACAAGTCAATAATTTCTATAATTTCTAAAGTGAATAAAAATGTTAAAGACTTCAGTTTTTATAACCATCAATTAAGTTACTCTGTGAATTCGATTACGGTTTACTAGTAGGATTCTGAAGTTCCGATAATACTAAAAACCAACCTGTATACAGAATAATCATAAATTAAAATAATTAAAATTATTTCTGTATGATATGATCACATTATCTATCTACATTACTTATAACTGAGTTTTCAATGCAGGCAGTACAAGCTAAAAACACAAAAATACACTTCCACAAATTATGTATTTAATGATGTTAGTTAAAATCTGATAGATTTATTCATAGACACACAGATAAAAACGATATTAAAAAATGTAAATACCTCTTTCACACATCTGTGGCCATGTTTGGATAAAAAGGCTTTGAATAATTTGCCTGCTGGTCCTTTATCATTCTTCAGTACATTATAAGCAGTCTAAGAGTCAGAGAAAAATGCGTATTTTAATATTATTTCTATGCTATGAACTAAACTGCTGGCCACTGAAATTGCTGTACCAGGAAGGAAAGCAAATAGCAGAATCTTATTTATTTTATATATACAGTATATTAGGAGGAAGACATGACACCAGGAAAGAAAGCAAATAGTAGACTCTTATTTATTTTATATGTGCAGTATAATGGGAAGAAAACATGATTAAATTTGCAGCTGCTTTAGAGTAGCAGAGGGCAGAATTCAGTCACGGAGCTGATACGTCTGATAGCAACAATGGCTGTAATCCGCCTGGGAATCATATCGAACTGCGCTAAATGACAGATACGTGTGTTTCATTCCATGTTGCTTACTCTATGCCAGAGTTTATCCTTTCTAATGGGTGGCAAGTGGTGGCATCCCAGTCTCTCTGCAGAACTACTTGCGAAGAATTTGGCAAAGGTCACGAGATCCAAATATCCGTGCCCAGTTTCGCAAGATACAGAACGAGATAAGGACCGAAACCCGCTTATTAAAACAAGCGGCGTGGAAAACATACATTGAGTCCCTAACGACTGCAGACAAATCGATTTGGCGCGCAGCCGCCCGATTACGCAAACATAAAACATACATTCCGCCCCTTCAAACGGCCGATGGCGCACAGATGGCCTCCTACACTGACTCAGAAAAGGCGAATGTCATAGCTGACAGCCTTGCAACTCAATTCACACCAAACCACGACTCCTACTGTAACCGCCCGGTTACACAGGGGCGCATACAAGCACGGGTTAAAGATTTTTATCACAACCTACCACAACTGAACTCAGGCCAACGGACCCTTACTGAAGTCATGGTTTTCATTGACAAATTGAAACCTGACAAGGCACCTGGCATAGATTCTATTTCGAATCGCATGATCAAAAACTTCCCCCCTATGTTTATCGTATGGATCACGGTCCTCATAAATTTAATGCTCAGGAGAAGCTATTTCCCCGACTGTTGGAAAATTGCAGCAGTCGTTCCCCATTCCAAAACCGGGACAAAATTTAAACTTGCCCGTCAATTACAGACCCATCAGTCTGTTATCTTCTCTCTCTAAGATCTATGAATTTGTCTTACTTAATCGCCTGAATGAATTCTGTCGGGATCAAAATTTACTAATCCCGGAACAATTCGGCTTCCGACCTAAACACTCCACGGTACACCAGTTACTCCGTGTAGTGGAATTCATTCATGAAGGCTTTCGTAAGCGAGAGAAAACTGGAATTGTCTATCTAGACGTTGCCAAAGCCTTTGACAGGACTTGGCATGACGGGATTATTTACAAGCTCATGCGGCTTGGTTTTTCGGCTCATCTCATTAAAATTATTAACTCGTACTTGACCGGACGCAGTTTCCGCGTGCGAGTTAACCACGAATTCTCCTCTCCCCGCCCAATCTATGCTGCGGTAGCTCCAGGTAGCCTCCTTGCCCCCGCAATCTTTAACCTTTATGTAAATGATATTCCTAAGGCCCCAAATATCGATCTTGCATTATACGCAGACGATACAGCCATCATTTCTCAACACTCCAACACCCTCCAGGTAATCTCACAATTGCAGAGTTACCTTTCGACCTTAGAACTCTGGCTCGGTCTGTATAAAATCAAAATTAATGTCGCAAAATGTGCTGCCACCTATGTTCATCCGAAGAAATATCCCAAAGTTTACCTAATTTAATGCTCTTCGGTGAACCCATTTCCTGGGTCTCTTCTTACAAATATCTAGGTGTTTTACTAGACTCAAAATTAACTTGGCAGCCTCACATCCGCAAAATCATAGCGGGTGCAACAGCTGTCAACTAACAGAAAACATGCCCTAAAACGGCCCCCTTTTAAGCTAGTAATAGCGACGACTTTGTCAACGTGGATAACTATATAATCTTGCTTCTACAAATCAATCGATACTAAACCCCCCCCCCGCCTCTAAAGTTCTTTAATGCACACGGCATTAACTCGAGGAACCCCTTTAACGTTTCTTTAATAAGAAACATCACAGTCAAATAGGACTGATTTAAATTACTATCTAACTTTTGAAATGCCTTAAAACTGAAAAAGATTCTTTAAATACAGCTTCTTTTCTTCCTTTAAAAAGGAACTTTTCTTAGGCGCTTAACAGCGTCCATTTTTGGCCTTTAAAAACCGCATTGAATAGCGGTCAAAAACGAAACTTCTCCCTCCCAGCTGATCACTGGCAGAACTACTTTTTCGACCTGTAAACAGGTTCCCCCCTCCCTCCCACCCCTCGAAGAACGCGCATCGGAAAATTTCCCCTGCGTATTCTTCCATCTGACGTATGCCAAAACATGATTATCAAGGTTCAAGGAAACTTCACCTTTTATTTTCTAGTCAAAATTTTTATGGCTGCCCCTATCTAAATTATTCTGGCCCTTTTTCGGCGCAAAATTAAGACCTTCTGAGTTTTTTTGCCTTTTTTTGACTCAGTGTGAAGGCACTTACTCCAAGTCATTCGGCTTTTCAAAATTTTTACCCTATTTGACACTCTCCTCTTTTTGATGATATAATTTCCTTTGAAGATGTAGAGGTAAAGGCGTAATTGCCTATGAACTCCGTAAATTGCACTTCCTTGATCCTTGAGTCTCTCTGGAACCTATTACCAGATGTTCTGAAAGGTTGAGAGATCTAGAGAACTTCCGGACCAGGGCAATAGTCAAATCTTCTCTGTATCGAATAAGGTTCAGGACAGCACAAGCAACATGCTGCCACGCATCTTACTGAAAGATGGCGCTACGCAAGCCTTGAAAATAAGGCACAACCACAAGGCTTAACACATCAGAAATATATCGGTGGCTTTCTACATTGCTGGATATGCGAACAAGAGGCGACTGAAATGTATACCAAGGTATCCCATATCACCACAGCATAAGTTTTATCTCTATGATGAAGACGAATGCAAGCTGACAACATTCGTTTTCTTCGTTCCTCGATGCCTCTACATACGGATAATTTATGATAGACCTGTGTATTCCGTCACAACAAATCTAGGTGCTACTCGACTCACCCATTTGATCCACTACATTTTAGGCAGGAATTGAAATCTCGCAGAGCTCAACAAACCGTGCAGAACACAAAGAGAAGAAAGGAAGAGGGGTCGGTCGTTACACCCCCACTCGGATGGGTGAAGCCGCTACACTTCGGGACAACACAGAGCTTCACTTTCGGATAGTAGAACCAGGTCCATATATTTTATACCCCTGGAGTTGCGACTGTTAGATGTAATACTAAGACAGTATATATAACCCCATGGGTAGCACACAGGTAAGTCAATCATGACGTTGTACGCAGATACACGAGATTTGCCTGAAAAGACGACGTGGTGCCAATTCTTTGTCCATTGCCATGGTTCGTTTTACATGTCTCTGCTGCAGCATCAAGAAAATTCGCGACAATGTTCGGTGTGATGACAGTCCATGGTGCTATAATCGTAGTGTTCGTGCGAACACTTGTCATCCTACACATGTGACGTAGCTGTAAACTACCTTTTCCCTCTCTAGTAGCCACGAGGCGTTCCGGTCTTCTGTCACCTACCTACCTACCGCAAGGCCGAGAGGTAACCAACCCTATCTGCCTTTTCGGGCGTTAGTTGCCCGGGGCCGTTTCGATGCAGCATTGCGTTCAGTATGGCTATCCTGGAGCCCTCGGCTACAGCCTGATAGCCACGAGATCCCGACCAACGCAAACAGCAATGTCCCGAAACAATAAACCACACTACCGATAAGCCCCGTTCTTGCCGTGATCGAATTCTGACACGCGCTGTCAGCAGCTTCTCTTTCTTATACGAGTCACAAACACGATTTTTACACAAATTTACAACTGTAAAATGCGACCAAATGAGAAACGCGCAGTATAATCTTCCCATTTATAAACCGTGTAAATGGCGTTACTTATACTTGCTTTTTGCGAATGTTCTGAAATGCTAACCATTTGCATATCCTAACATATAGTATCTTTGGCGCAAATTTGACGTTTGTTGTATGCCACCTTCATGGTGTAGCAGTTTTAAAAGCTAGCAGTGTACGTAGTATTAAAAATGTATTGAGCGCAATATTTCAGTTGGGCGGATTAAAAAAAAAAAAAGTCCAATTCTAATACCGCAGTTTCTTAAATAGTTAGAAAAGAATACAGTAATACTTCGAAGTTAAACGGTAGATGGGACAGACGAAAAATACGTAAGTTGCCGTCCAACTTTGCATGTAAATACATGAGAGTTTCAGTTCATTAAAACTAACGTTTAAAAATATACTGTGTACTTTTTTAAACATAAGTGCTTTGTTCAGAAGAAATGCATGTAATAAAGAATATAGTTTTGTATATGATACATAAAATGGAGTTATTTTGATACCGATGGCGTCGTAAAATTTAACAAATTCATTTGACGACTCAACGATTCTTTTTATTGCATAAAAGTTTTTGATAACGAGCTAATAATTTTTTATTCCTTACCTTGTAGCTAGAATGTGTTCCTCATTACAGCTTATGTTGTAAATGTAAAATTTGCAATTCTGTTTCCACTGAGCAGAGCACTCCTGCTCAAGTTTGTAGTTTTCCCCATGTGTTACGTGTATGCGAGCCACTTTCCCTTAGAAAATCCTCCATAAAGACATCTCTGCCCTTAGGCAGATAGCCTTAGTGTGCTTTGCCGTAATCAAACCAAACCAAACCTGCTCAAGTTTGCGATTGTTATTATGATTTTTTGTGAATCTAGGTTTGGAGTAATATCTTCTTCAAGCAGCGATATGCTTACACTTCTCTAAAAGCTCATTAATCTATAAACTGTTGGCAATGCGAATCCAACAACTCGCTGTCACCATAGCTCTCAAATTCCAAATCTAATTGCCTGTTAAGATTGACAGCTTCTTCTGTTGCATATTTGTTCAGTTTCTGGCATGGTTTTCGTCTCCTCTTTTAAAAGAATGAACACAATTCCAGGCACCATTCAAGTTTATTGGAGCTTTTCTAAGATTCTCCACCGCTCCTTTTAGTTCAATTGCACGTCCTCTGCCAAATGGCGATATCTGCTCATTACTGTTCGTAAATCCGTCTGCGGATCGTAGGTGAAGTCGTGGCCTTCGAGATTAGATACTTCATAATTTTTCAAAATAAATTATCAATTGCAATTAATTATTGCTTCAGTATACTAGTACAACTTGCACAGTATTTGCTAATTAGACAGAAATGATGGTTTGTTCTATGTATAGTTGTTTTGAGATTTTCGTTGGCAAATTTATTGATTTTACGCTTTTGTGGAACATTTTATGGATGGCTTTATTTGCAAATATATTATTTATTATGCATCTACATATAAGTAATAATGTAAATATTATTAAATGACGTAAATATTATTATAATTATTGCTATAGATAACATATAAATATGTGAAAATTATTCGTTTTCTGTAATGTTGCAGGAAAATTGTAATTTATTTAATTTACAAAGTTTTGAGGTTTAAATTTTTTCTGTGGCTTTTGAACTGCTTTTCATTTTATTAGATAGTAATTTAAATGAATTAAAAATGTATTTGCATAGTGTTTGGAAGCCCTGAAATATTTATAGTTTCAAGGAAAAATAATTTTTTATGTCTTTTAATTTGCTAAATTATATTTACTTTTGTTAGTGAATTATTTATATTTCTAAATCTTTTCATTCCTCTCCTTCTCCAACTGTAAAGACATTTTTATGTTAATAAATAACAGCCTTTTTATTTCCTTATTTCAAAACTTTCTTTTTTGAGTGTATCCTAACAAATTATTACAATACAGTGTAAAAAAAATGCACAAGATAACCTAAAACATGGCATAGAAAATTTCGTGAATATTTCTTAAAAAATAATATTTATTAAGTTATTAATCTTAACTGCAAATTAATATACGACCTTTTATATACGTTTTCCCGTCAAGTCTCTGGAAATTTAATCATTATGCATTATTAAAAACAAAACACTCTAAACATCGAACGAAACGCTCGCATTCAAATCTGAAGCAAAGAAAGTCACGGAAGGATCGAATGCCTTTCGTGACGTCACTCGCAGCTAACCAGGCCATGTTATCTCGAAGGCCACGGTGAAGTCCACGTCAACGGAACCACGTTCGAATGGGAGTTATGCCTTAGTGATGGAATGTTTTCTGTTTTATATATCACCCGGATGCTTCGTTTCAATGCGCTGAAGATCCAGCTAGTCAGTTACTGTCTATTCATAGACAGTTAATAAGCCGTTGGGGAAGTTAATCATTGGCATATTTTGTCGTAAAGTATGAGCATATGCAATTTTGTCTCATTTGTATAACTCCTTCTTGATGCTTCGCTTTTTATTTTAAAGAATGTATTTGCAGGCATGATGAAACAAACTTGAATAGGAAAATTTACAGTTTCCGAATCGATATTCTATATTTTATGGTCTTTCTTCAAACGAACAAGCAAACAAACAAACAAACAAACAAACAAACAAAAAACAGTATTTGTTCTTAATCAAAGTTTCCCCTAGTATGTGCGTGTTTATGCTTGATCATTGCCAGACGTTTTAAATAAAATAGATAAGTAATAGACAAAAAATTTTTCATTTCATTTTTTTTTTTTCTTTTAGTCGAATATGGTATAACATTGGAGGACTATCTACCTAATCGGAGAAAACCTTCGTGGAAGACTTAACTGGAAGAATGAGAGTAACTGGCACACGGGAAAAACCGCCTAAATGGCCCATGCAGCCAGCCTTCTCGCCGCAATTGAAACCCGGATCCAACTTTCCAAATGTTAAACGGTATTATTCTTTCATCCACTAGTTATCAGAAAAATACCTTTTAGCTGAAAGATAACCAGACTACTTACATTGACTGGTAGGGCTGAAAATGTCATTCCATGCTCTTTCGCAATTGCTGTTGCTAATTCCTGAAAAATGGAAAGAACTTTAAATAAAGTTAAATTTTTTTAATGCAGAAAGGAATTAGATGTTACTGTAGATCAGAAATTACATGTAAAATTATCTTTTATTATTTGATTTATTTTTACCTGAAGGCTCCTAGGAACGTCAGCACTTTCGACTTCCGAGCAAGATGACAGAAGATTAGCAAACTCAGCATAGAGTTCGGAGCCCCATTCTTAAATGATATAGATGAAAGCAGTTAGTATGTTTACATAGATCTGATTCTTTTTCAAAGGAAATCAAACATTTAGTGATACACTGTATAAAATTACAAACCCATGTATTGTCACTTTTCAAACTGTAAAAATAAATTTAAAAGGGTAGTAGAAATCAAAGTTTCTGTTATTCTGAATTTCAGATAACAGCTGTTTTAAAACCTTAACTGATTTGTAACTTTATTAAGCAGTATATGTCAATTTATATTATTATTTACTTATTCTATTTTACAAGGAGCATTTACGATGACAAAACCTCAAGCTTTAAATCGAGATTTGAGCCCATTTCTTTTCTGATATGATTGCGACATCTGAAGATAACGTGAAGATAACATCTGAAGATGACGAAGGTCTGCGGAGTTTCGATATAAATACTTTTAACTTTCAGGCTACCATTGTCACTATAAATGAAATAAAAATGTGATATTTAAATCTATTTAGAATATTATCGACTGTTACTCATATATGGGTTACTTATATTACACTTACTGCACACAGACAAAGGTATGGGATTAATTTTGTTAACAAATTCTACCATACCTACCAAACTATAATTGGCAGCAGCATTTATTAATATGATATCTCAGCTTGATTCTTCTAAAATATCGTCTGGTGAAAGTTATAATTTGGTATGCAGTTTATCATTTGCTTTGGTCCACTGTTGACATGGATTACAAAGCTGAACAATGAATAATAATAGAGTTTGCCTTTAAAAGGAAGATTTAGTTCTGATTGTTTTCGAAAAAATTACGATTGGATATGAAACTTGGTGCTTTTAAAGTAAAAATAGCATTCCGAATAATAATTACAGAGTTCGAACAACAGGAATCGGTGATAAGTTTTATAAATTTGCAGAAATCTGCAAATTTATAATACGGAATTTGCTGTTGCTGGACAGAAGATAAATTCTAAATTTCTACAAAAACGCAAAGGAAAAATTTCTAAAGAAATTTCAGAAGATCGAATAATTAAGCTGAAAAATAGGGCTTGAAAAGTTAAAACAAATAACTGATTTCTGGCTAGACAGCAATGTGACGTCACGAAAACGCATTCTAGTGAAGCATTTGTAGCAAAGAAAACTATCAGAATTCTCAATTACCCTCTCATTCACAAATTTTCCCATCTACAGACTGCTTTTTCCTTCCTAACTTAAAGTCTCACTTGATCCCTCATAAACTAAATATCAATTAAACATATTCAGAAAATTGTAAACAGACATAAAAAGTATTTCAAAAGATAAGATGAGTTTCACGGAGAAATTAAATTTATTTGTATGAATGTGCCAAAAAATTGTGTAAAGTGATAAAGACTGTAGACAGAAGTTTAAGAAGTAAGAATGCATTTGTTTTTTCAATTTTTGATTTTCACGAACGTAGTCTTAAAACATCGTAGAACACATTGTATGCGCATTTAAATTGCATTTTGTAATTATTATAGCATAATAGCTTGCATTAATTTCATATACATATAATAACACAATTTATAAGTGCAGTTACAAAACATATTACACTTTGGACGGTCCACGTATTAAATTCCGTATTCTTTAATAATTTCGGCACTAAAAAGATGAACATCTCCATTCGATGAATATAAAGCATATTTATTCTCAAAACTCTTTCTCATAACTTATTAGTCATAAGCATATAAATAAGCAAACTTAATACTTGGTTGGTTCTCTTCCTTTTCGTGTTCTTATCAGAAATGAATCAGATGAATGAATTCCGACTTTGTAAAATAATTTGCCTCTCACCGCGCGAATAACCGGAAACAGCCTTGATCTGATAAGCCAAATCTGTGCGATTCCTAAAGCACTTCGTGCATGACCATATTTCTTCTTATTGCTTTTTGATCCTCATCTCTTACTACTTTTGGGGATTAATTATCCAAAATTTTGTCGAACAAAGGAAGTTACTAATAAAACTCTACTATGAAGATTAATTTCATGAAAATGATTAGTGAAGTCTGTAACGGGATAATTCAGCAGGATAATTTGATGCTTTTGATCTATAGAAATAACAGCATTGCTTAATCTTCCACCAGCTCTTAATAAATTTTATTCATCAAAAAAGGCATTAAAATATACTTCTATTTGAATTCAGACATTTTACCAAACTTATTACTTTTATTTCTTCATTACACGCATGCTGCTGAACCAATTTCACTACAGTAAGAGTATTTGTTTTTAGTTCTTGCGTATTTAAAAAACAACCAGTTGTACTTTCGGTTGGTATCTTCTTATCTTTGGCATATTTAAAATAGTTCTTTAGTGGTATTTCTGGGATTCGCTTCCAAAACATATTTAGTAAATGCAGCGCATCAAGAAGGCTAATTTTCCTTGCTAATTCATTTGACTTATATCCATAGCATACATGTTAAAAAGAATTCTAGTACTCATCCCATGACAATAATATTCATCATCACTGTAATAATCCGCTCATCAGAAGTACTATAATCTCCACTATTTGCCGCAGTAAACCGGTTTAATAAAACGCACCGTTATTAAACACATTATTTCTGTCTAGGCCATCTTTCATCATGCAATACTACGGCATAACAAATGGCGAATATTTTTGCCATTTTATTTTTCATTACCGCGCGACTGCAGACTCATGACAGCCTGAATTAGGTCACGCAATGATGCCACAAACAACTTTTTCAATCTTGCTAAATGAATAAAGTACAAAAAGAATTTACTGTATGTATATAAAGAAAGAAGTAAAGGAACAAATGCAAATGAAATATAATAATTACCAGAAGTTCCTTTTGATAAAATGCGCATCAAAATTAAATTGTAGAAAGGGGATAAAAATGAAGTTAACCGATGTACCCCGAATACCTATAAATAATAGATTAAAAAAATAAATAACATTTTTTACTAGTTCCAAAAATTATTCATACGTTATAAAGAACATTAAAGTATAATGTGCTTCTTTATAAAATGTTCATAAGTAAGTATTAACATGAAACATATGGAAGAGAAATATATTCAGTTGTTTAAATATATTTCATAATCGTGTGTTCTAGTACCTGTAAAAATTTCTAAACGTACTGAGCTATATTATGTAATATTTTCTTTTATTTTTTTTAATTTATGAAACAGTTCATGAAATATAATACAATCTTACCTCAGCATAAAAGTTCACACGATTGAGTATTTCATTAAGTACATCTGCAGCTGTATTTAATGTTAACAATGGAAATTCTGAATTCAATTTTTGATCCACATCTCTTATTATTTTTGAAATTTTCATTGAAATCTGAGAAAGAAATACATTATTATTATCAGTGCTAAATCGTACAATTTTAAATTGGTATGAAATTATTGAAAATCGAAATTATCGAAATTGGCGCATATAAGGAAAGAGAAATCAACTGTTTTTTGACATCGAAACCTATGGCATTTACAACACATAACTGTTTTTAAGTATTAACATCAGATGTTGTATAAGTCACGAGATTATGAAATTCATAGTCACTATAACTGAGATCTAATATACAATATCTCGTAAAATCATTTTTTACCGTATTTGTTTTATTCGCGCGTAACTTCTGTTTTGTGTAGATATCTTGACTTTGGTAAATCAGTAAAAATATTTATTCATAAAAATTACATTATTCTAAAAATTGAAATATGAATAGTATTATTAAAAATAAAAGAAATAAAATTATAAGTAAAAACAATTCATTTATTTCAAATGAAAAGTCTTTTTATATTTCCAATGCCAATTACATGATCCTTTTTAATCTAGAAACAAGTTACATTTCCTTTATTTAGGCCCTTAATATGCGCAGTATAATAATATGCTCTCTTAAAAAAAAAAAAAAAAAAAAAAAAAAATTGCGGTGTTCTTTTGAAAAGTCTAAATTAAGATTTCTTCTAATGCTGAGAAAAGTTAAACTCGACTAATTATTTAAAATGCATTTCACATTTCTTTTAAATTCCTGTTACTTCGACTGTTTTTGTATAAAAAATATTGCTATTTCTTGATGGTTTATTTTTGCTTCTACTTCCTTTAACAATCTTCCAATAGATAACGAAAATTCTTCATCTATAATGCTAAAATGAAGTGTGTCTGGAAACTAGTCATTTCTAAAGCTTCTATAGTTATCTTTATTCTGGTATTTACATGGCTTAGTCAAAACAAAACTGACTTTGTTCTTATTTTTCTATTTGCGCTTTCTCCTGACAGAGTGCATAATATGCCACAAATTAACTGTCGATAATCGGCAATTGCATTCATTCGGAAGCGCATTCTTAATGAAATGTTTCTGCTTCTGAGTAGTACTTGCGCGTATTCCTGGAATGGGTTGCTTAGCATTGTTTTTAACATTTGCTCGAACTATATGTGTCTTTTTCGTAAACCTCATCAATAGAATTCATAACAGTTTTCGCCATTTCTTTTTGTTTATCATCAATCAGTTCTACGCAACTTTTACTCTGACGCGAAAGGTTCGTAAATCAGGTTGGAATGTCTTCGTTTGCGTGCAAAGTTGGGCTTTTTAAAGTATGGCCTGCCCGAGCTACATAATTTCTGCTTGCATAAAAAAAAAAAAAAAATCTGCCTTTACATTTTAAACTTTTCACTTTCTCCTTACATTCTTCATTACAATTTTCAAAACTATGCTGAGAATTATTATAATTCATTCCGGTTTGTATACAGATGATGTAAATTATTAGGCATATGGTTTAACAGCATTTTTTAAAAATTCTGCGAGTGAACTTGTGTGAAAAGATTATGAAAAGATATGATTTTCTTTAAAGATTCCCATCTGAAGTAATACTTATGCCATCTGAAAAACACAAATATGAAGAAAATAACAGAAGATTTAAAGCTGAATGGAAGGAAGAATTTGTTTTCATGGAGGAAAACGCGAAATCAGTGAGTCTTTTATGTTAAATAACATTTTCATAATAACATTATCAGTAATCTTAAGCGACATTATTAGTCAAATTACTGTTCTTTCAGCCAACAACTTCCTCTGGTTGCAACTTAACACGAATTAAAATATTGCCTTTAAGAGCAAAATTTAATTAAAAAAATCTAATGTGTACACCACATGACTTCCTTGTACGGAATATTAAATTATACGCATTTTTTCTTGCATTTCGTTGAAACTTACTGGATTGAATTAAATCTACTTCGCCGACAGCACATAAACCACTATAGAATAAATGCATTCTTTAAAATTCACTCTATTTGTTTACCATAGCGACACTCTGGCGCTAGGTTCACTTAACAGTATTATATTTCGTTCATATTATAACTCAGAATGCACAAAATTTATATCATTTAAAGAATTATCTAATCGTTGCCACATGTTCTATTCAAATACTAAAATAAAGCTAGAACGATGTATAAAAGAAATTAAGCAAACAAAACAAAACAGAAACAGTTTTTCACAGACGATTGAGTATTTCTCATTTAATTAATTCAGTTACCACTTCGCGAGAAGGCAAAAATACATAAAAACTCAAAATATCTATATTAAAAATTACGAAGTAACTCTCAAACGCTTATTTCCTCGAAAAAATTCCAGAAAGAATTAAGCATGATTTAATTCGCAATAATAAATGAATGCGTTATCTTTGTTGTTGCGAAGCTAAGTTTCTCTAGATTGGCAACAAATCCCCTAGTCTCCTGTTTCAAATGTAAACATCAATGGCCGCCATTAAAAACAGGCTTAGCGGCAATTAAACAACTTTAAAATTGCTGATAATTCTAAAAATATTGCACACAGATTTACTAAAGGCATAAAATCCTTAACCGGAAGATAAAAACAACATAATTCAATCATTTTTAAAGCAAAAAATGTACAATTTACAAACATATAAGAGTAAAGAAACTGAGATCACTGAGCCGGGTAATAGAGTGGATATATATCTAAATATATTTATATACGTTTTCTGCCGATTGCAACCAAAATACGAGGTGCATATCTACATGTTATAGCAGTCCTATATACAAAATTTCAACGTTCTGAGGCTACTCGTTTTTGAGTTATGCGAGATACGTACGTACGCACGTACGTACATACGTTCGTACAGACTCCACGAAAAATTCTCTTCAGAATTAATTTTAAAGCAGTTTTATAATTTTTTTGAAGAAAAAGAGTATTTTATTCTGTCCTTACGTACAGATATGACGCAAAAACATCGTTAAATTGCATTCGATAGCGGTCAAAATGGATATTTTCGTTGAAATATGCTGCCTGAAACTTTTCGCGATTACAATATTTGAAATATGCTGCCTGAAACTTTTCGCGATTACAATACTTCCTTTTTACTTCGTACAAGGAAGTAAAACGTTATAACAGAAACCTTACAGTGTTTCCAATTAATCGTCTCACTTGTCTAGAGTATTTCCATAAGAGTAATAACAGAATTTTCCACATGAAAGAGATTAATGACTTCTTTAATAGGCTACGCAGCCTTAAATTTCTCTAGCGCACGTTAAAGCATAGAATCTACAAGGTTTTAATGTTCATTAACCCACTTGTCTTATTATTTTGGCCTTACACTATAACTTCCACTTTTGTCAACCCCTAGCAAAATGCAGGTTAGTTAAAGCATACAAGCACAGATTTCTTGAATTTGGAAGACAATTGCGACTAACTTTGCTGATCGTTACTTTGTTACGCTTTCCTGCTGCCTGAATCATGTGCGTTAACTCGGCAAGCTGCATTGTTTCGTAAAATCTTAGAACCAAGCCCTGACTTATTTAAGCGCATGCTAATTCCGTTTCACATTTGAATCCGATTTGAACGTCTTCTCTACATTTCCTAGAGGCTGCGCAGATTGTGTTATATTAATTTTCCGAGTTTTGTATAACTATCAGGTTGACCTGCTAATGAATAAATTTCATTTTAAATCTTTAACCAGGAGTCTATGATTACTGTTTTAAAGAAGGTAAAACGTAATAGGAGTCTTTGGGAAAGTATGTCTTTGGGGTCTTAATAATTTGGCATCTTAAAAAGTGTAGAATCATGCAAATATTCTACATGTACTCTTTATATCGTACTAAAACTATTGTAATCAAAAAGCTATGTTAGTATTCTTCGAAATTTTTCTTTGTACATTATAATTTTTAAGCATAAATAGTTCTTTTCACGTCCATGCCTAATTTGATTTTTTTTTTTTTTAAGGAACAAATTTATTTTGTATAAATGAGTGGGTATTTCCTCATCGAGCACAACTACAAGTTTCAGCCAGCAGAATCTAAGGAAGCACTTATTATCTGTCTTAGTGATATGAATTACTTATTTAAAATCTAAAACAGCTACTATAGACATTTTAGCCCCCAAAAAACAGTAAAAACTTACCCAAAAAATGAAAATAGGTTCTAAAAATTTTCGTTTCATGGATTTATATCCATATTTCTTAACTCCAACTTTGTGCATAACTTCATTTCCTATTATGCGGCCAAAGAGACCAACTTCAAATGCCCTTTGATTTGTTGATATTTCCTTTTCATTTGAAGCAAACAGGGTCTATAAAAATCATTGATTATCAATTACATATTCATTTCAAAACATTATCAGTGGTTTCAAACAAGGAATTTTTTAATGACGTAGGTAAGAAACTCTTTTTGTAAAGAAATGGTTAAGACTTAAATAAAATAAAATATAAAAAGCATAATCATAAAAAACTCACATCAACTAGATTCAATGTCACTTGTTTATGTGTTACTGGTAAAATGTGAAGAAAATAGGGGCAAAATTCTCCTTTATTCCTTAGGATGTGATCTCGCTGGGGAAAAAAAAAAAAAAAAAATAACAATTGGTTAGAAACTCTTCCCAAAATGTAATAGCAATAACATATTTTTAGAGCTATACTGTTTATTTAATAAAATTGATTTAAATATTCACCAGACAGATGCGTCAAATTAAAAATCATTGTTTTTTGAAATTCTACCAAATCATTCTACCTCTCTTCTGATGATTCAAAGGGTAATAGAATTTTAAGTGAAAAGTAAAATACCAAGTATTAAGTAAGTTTGAAAATTTTAGAATGAATTAAAAATATTCAATGCGACTGCCTTTCAAGTTCCTGGTCCGCTTTACCTAGCAATAACAAAAATGAAAATCTTAAAGTAGTAATCTGTTAACAATCAGTTCTTCAGTAAAGGAGTTATTCAATATTAATGCCATCGTGATCAAAATTTAGTTGATATACACTGGTGTGCAAAAATTAAGGACGAAGTCGAAAAATTAGCATATCAGCTGAACGAAGAGGCAAAGCGAACAGAAAGGCCAATCAGGAGATTAAGTAAGTTGATTTACGGTAGCACATGCGCAGATATGCAAGTAGACGTAATGGGGGAGTGTCTGAGTAGTATAAAGCATGTTGTCGTGTAAGATCAGTATCTCTGGCAAAGAGATTGCACGCCGTATAGCAGTTAAAATCACACCGAGTTGCTGCCTCAGCGAGAAATGGCGAATAATCAATCTGTTAGACGACATCTGGATGCTTTTACCCGAGGTCGAATCATTGAGAAGTTGGAGGAAGGCCGCAGTGTGACAAGTGTGGCTGCAGAGTTCGGAATTGCTCACAGCATCGTTTCACGACTTTGGAGACAATTTCAAACTACAGGAACAGCTATCCGGGGCTTTAGTAGTGGTCGTCCACGAGGAACCAAACCCGCAGATGACCGGTATATTGCCTTACAGGCCAGAAGAAACAGGCGGCAGACAACGGGAGAAATCGCTAGACACACGACACAGGCGACTGGACGACCGATATCGCGTTTTACCGTGGCCAGAAGACTGTACGGTGGTGGTCTGTTTGCACGACGCCCTGTACGGTGTGTACCTCTAACGCCTGCCCATCGGAGAAAGCGTTCTCTGTGGTGCCGGGAATACCGGAATCGGAGAGACAATGAATGGGGACGAGTACTCTTTACAGATGAGAGCAGATTCAGTCTGAGTAGCGATTCTCATCGCATACTCATCTGGAGAGAGCGGGGAAGAATTCTTCTTCCATATGTGCGTCTTTTTAGAGGCGCTATGGGTCCGCAGTTCCTTTTCATGGACAACAATGCACCATGTCATCGCACAGTAGTTGCCAAACAGCTCTTAGAGAGTGAGGATATTGAACGTATGGATTGGCCGGCACGATCTCCGGATCTCAATCCCATCGAGCATGTATGGGATTTTCTAGGCAGACGCTTGGCAGCTCGTACCTTACCACCAGTAACGATTCCGGAGCTTCGATTGGCGCTGCAAGACGAATGGGCAGCATTGCCTCAACAACTCATTGACACCCTCATTCTCAGCATTGGGCAGACGCTGTGAAACCTGCCTAGCAGTCAGGGGAGATCATATCCCCTATTAAAGAGCGGATGTTTCTTGCTGGACACCCATCACAGGGATGTTTTCGGCCTTCAGTCGCATTGCGCTCCATGCTACGTTTTCAATAAAGCTTCTTTTTATCCCTCTGATTTCTCTTTTAGTAAGTGTTGCTCACATTGCTCATGTCCTTACGTATTGGGGATCTTACGGTATTAAATGTGTTGATTTGGAAAGCTTTTGTACAAAGTTATATTGAAAAAACCGTCTCGTCCTTAATTTTTGCACACCAGTGTATGTAATTTTCATTCAAAAACTCTGAATGGAACATAAAAGGTATAACAAGGGTATTTAGCGATTGAAATCTTGTGGGGAATGTTTTGAACACTTCACCTCAAGTATGAGTTATTTTTTTGTCCTCAATTTAATTAGGTATGAAATTCAGAATCGCATTCTTCTTTACGTGCTGCGACGATCCACATGACTCATCCTATAAAATAATGTTTAGTCCACCGGTAGTGGACCACTCTCCTCTAGCTACGCCACTGTGAATATTCAAAGAGATTTCTTCATTCTTTGAATTACGTTCCGTTATTTTTTTATTTCACAATTTTCTGTTAATTTGCTGTTTTTGCTTTAATAATGTACTAAAAATTTGATAATTAAATTGATGTGGAATGATTTGAAAGCAAAAATGCTTGGTTACATGTCGTACTCTCAATAAATACTTTTGCAAATGTAATTTCTTTTTCTATGCCTTCAGATAAAGTCAAAAGCTGCTCATTTTAACGGGGAAGGGAATGAGGAAAATGAGCTAAGGTCAAAACTTATTTTATCTTAATTACCAAGCTTGATTCTCATTTTAAGTATTGTACAAGTCTTTAAATACACTGTAATAACAAGTAACATAATAAAATATTAAAATCAAAACAAATGTTTTTAAAAATACTCAGTTACCTATTTTACATTTAAAATGCGCGTTAGAGATGTATATATATCAAATTTATATTTTATAGTTACAGTTGGCTTTGATGCATTAGCATAATTTTTATAATTATTTTTTATAATAAAATTAATTTTTTAAAATTTTTACTTTTTAAAATTTAAAACTTTTAAAATTATTTAAGATTAAAAATTAAATTTTTCGCAAAGCATGTCATGGTTTGTATGTCTCCAAGAGCAAAATAATAGGAGATAAAACAACCTTACAATGTTCTTCTTATCCACAAGGGGAGTTTCGCCTCCGCGGGCATCATTGTTGCCCCCTTTTGGTAGTCTTTCATTTAAACTGTGGCAAAGGAAATACTGAATCCAAAAATATCAACGAAAACGTTCTCAGTAGGCACAATTTGAATATTTCCTCTCTCCAGTCTTCTAATATTTGAGGGATTTGGTTTAGTTTATCGGATTATGGCAAAACATGCGAGGAATATCAGGTGAAGAAGAGGAAGGACTCCCTAACTGGACATGGCTAGTATCCTTATTACATGCGGGATAAAGTACGAAAACGCCTATGCAGCCAACCCGTTTGCGGAACTGGAGCCAAGTCGAATTATTAGCATTCAGCTTTACTTTAGTAATCTTATCCACTCTGGCAAAATAATTTAACATTAAAAGAAACAAAAAACATTTAACATTTAATTCATAGAAATGTAATAAGGCATCTAAATCACCGTCACAAGATTTCGTTTCTTCTGAATCACAATCGGAATCGCTACTGACAATCTGAATCATTAATTCTTCTACTAACTCCTGAATCTCCTAATATGAATCATTAACTAGTAGAAGTCCGTCCTTATCTCGATAAGAATTTAAAATTTTTTCCAAGTGGTTACAGTCCTCTTGCCATTTTTGAGAATAAACTCCATTCAAAGCTTTGCTCAATAACTGTTCCAAATTTTCTAAGCTTAAGTAATTAAGTTATATGAATTTCTCTGGCCAGTCTTTCAATTGATGTCCAAGCACATTCTGTTCCGTCATCCTGCCAATATTTCTTAAATGTTAAGTTACTATCGATCCGTGTTTTGTCGATGTAAACTACGTATTGTTCCCTTTACCAGAGTTTCATCATTTCTTGAAAGTATATCTCCAAAATACAATATCGGACTTTTCGTTCAGAATTTTTCTTTTAATATATTTTTTCATCGAAAATTCATTGAGCGCAAAACATTACACAAAGGGTCTTTTTGCCTCAGGAAGTCTAGATTTTTTCCTTAATACAGGCGGTGATCCCGTACAGATGGCACTTTCTTTGATATAAAAGTTTTGTATTGTCTTCTGTACAATATATTTATCAAAATTATCAATTTCGAAGTTTCGATCAGCGGACTTTTTATGGTTCTTTCTAGGTGTGCTTAGTAGTTTCTCTCCACCCAATGTGGATTCTTCATGCCTATTTTTTTTAATTGTATACTGTGCGAGTCTCTTCAAAACTTGAGAGAGAGGTACTATTAAAGAGTTCGAAGCTTCAAAGGCAAAATTTTGCAACATTGTCGACGATTTGACGTGTCTGAGTTTTAAAGCTTGTTCTTTCCTAAACTGGAAGAGCATTTTACAAAATTGTCGATTAGCAAAGCACTAGGCACTGTGCCCGGGCCTTACAGCAATTTCGAGAAATCAAAGACAGTGGAAATTTCTCTGTGGATGAGGGAAAACTACATAAGGCCGGAGAAAGCATCAGTTTGCATTTTATTTGTACTTCTTGCATTTTATTCTTATTATTCGCACTAAGTTGTTTGTACTTCCTTGCATTATGATATTCATCAGCATTGCAGCTTCTTCATTCCAATTATATCTTGTGACTTTAATTCAGGGAGTTGTGATTAATGAAAACTTCTACTCATAATTCTTCAAAATTCTGGACTTGTGCGAACATACGCACTTGAGGATCTCTGCATTGCCTTGTGTTCAAAGCTCTTAGTAGTTTGTATTGGTAACTACTGATTGTGCTCGGTCATACCGAGAAGAGCTACACGAGTACTTTTGTATAAAAAGTTCCAGAAGTGTAAACTGTTTTCGGAAAAATGAGTTTCAAGCTGTCATCGGTTTTGTGTGCATTCAATCCATTGCGAACTCGTGTGCATGTAAAAACATCTATTGAATAACCTTCGATACTGCTATTATTTGCACTAGAATGCCTTGGAGATTATCTTTAAATAAGGCAGTGTTTATTTATAGTAATTTATTCTGTTAGTAATTAATGAATAATCATAAATTTCCTTTGAAAGTGAAGCAACAGTATTTCACGTCTTTGAATGAATTTGTAGCCCCTAAGGTGGGTGTTCTAGTTATCAAATCATTAAGAGAATGTCTTAATCATGATCAAAATGCTTTCACAGATGTACAAGTGTGTAACAAGCAGCTGTATCGCATTTGCCAGTAAAGCCCAGTCTGTCTCAGTGCTTGAAATTATGTATATACGATAATCCAGAATATGTTACATTTATTTTAAGGTTCATAGTTTTCAAAAATGTTCTTTCTCAGTAGTTTAATAGCAGATTAGATTCCATCAAATATAAATAAATAGTTTATTATTAATTTACTTTGTAACTGTGCCAGAAACAGTGGCTATTTGTTGTAGACTTTATATCATCATTTTTTATCTACCAACGAGACCAACAAATAACCTCATTTGGAAATCGCATTTGAATGTTGGTTGTTTGGCTAATGATCGTGCTATACTTCGCTTTAGAAGGGAAAACTCCTACCAGCACCTGTTGGACCACGGGCTAACGGAACTGCGGTCATCATTTCGCGACATTGCTGTTCGTGTTGGTCAAGAATGCTTGTCATGCTTGTTTTTCATGATTGTCAGATGAATCGATAGGACGAGAAGGACCATATTGAATGCCACGTTGGACCTCAGTCGCTCCAAGCCACTATCAAGCTAGAGAACAGGCATGCTTCCTCTTGCGGGACTGTATAGCCACGCCAAGGACTCTGATGGCTCCAGGAGGCATCCCTTGACGCTGCATTAAAGAAGGGCGAACGACGTCACTGAACATAGGAAGGGCTTCACGTCGTCTTTTCAGATGAAGCTCGTTCTGAATACAGCATATTAATTGTCGTATCCATACGTGGAGGCACCGAGGAGAGCGAGCGTTGCCAACTTTCTTTCGTCATCGTTGTATGAGCCCGACACCTGGTATGCTGGTAAGGGTTGCCTCGCCAGCACACCAGGTGTTGGGATCATTACTGTCAATAAACTCCCGATGCGGCCTTTATTGGACGTCGGAAGGGTGTGCTTAACCAGAAAGTTGCGGGTACCGGGTGATACCCGATTTGCCATCCGGGTGTCCGGCCCTGCATTCACCTGATCACCTGGTAAGGGGTGCCAATATGTACACATTCCTATCATCTCTTGTTCGCATAGACAAAAATGTGAACAGCCGCCTTTACTTTCTGAAATGTTAAGCACGTAGCTGTGGCCTATCTTCGAGGTCTGCGTGACGCCATTTTTCAACAAGATCCCTTGTTGCTGGTGGTTTCCTGATTTTTCCTGGTAGAGAAGGTGCACGACTTTGGCCTGATTAGCGCGTTCTCCAAATCCTTTCCCCACTAAGAACATCTAATCATGGGTTGCCGAGAGTCTGACACGCTACTACTCGCCAGCCACTACGAAAATTGAAGTTCGGCTCAGTTGAAGCTGCATGAAATGAAATACCCGCATCTGTCATCCAAGCTTACCTCAACTCAATAGTCAACCGCATAATAGCCACTGTTTCTGCAAAGGTAGCAGTTCTGTCTTCTGAATTCTGCACACCAAATAACCCGCAGATTCAATCCTGTCTTCCTCCCGTTACGCTATATGAACAGTAAATAAGATTCCGCTGTATTTTTTCCTTCCTGGTGTAGCAATTTTAATGGCCATCAAGTGTATATAGATATATTTATATACATTTAAATGTATGATTCTGCAGTCAAGAATTCACCATTAGCAGGTGTTTACATACAAATATAGACAGTCCTCTCCTTAAAACCATTTTAAGTAACTAAAATATTCTATTTCGATACTCTGACTAAAATACTTTATATGTGTTTTATAACTACTATGTGTTATAAAACACATATATGTTATAATATGTGTTTTATTACTTTCCGTTTTTAAGCTATAAAAGATGTAAGACATATTAATCGCTTAAGACAGATATATTTGTATATAACTGCAGATAACTTTTATTAGTTTCATTTGCGAAGCCACATCTGCTCTTCTGGAACCAATAAGCAGACATATCACCCGGATATTAGGAATTGAAATCAGCGGTAGCATGCCTATTTAATGACGTTGAGGTCGGAATTAGAATCGTTTATGCTGAACCGTTCCTATTTCACTCCATTCTCATTGCTTTTCTATGATAATTACTGAAGTAGCTTTTTTCATCTCGTTGCTAATCTGGAAGTTTTTAAACTAAACAGTGTCAGTAAAATTTTATCGTTTTAAACTTATAGCCAAAGAGCATTATTTGAAAATTTAATAATCAATTAACTTACATGTGCGTAAATATCCATTCCACTAACCACAAGAGAAAGGGCGAGTGGAGAAGACGCTCCCAAGAATACTTCTCTAAAATAATGAAACACATAGAAAAAAATTTAGCATAAATCTTTTGAAGGGAGAGAAAAAACAGATATCTTGACTTGATAACAAATTTTTCGCTGAAATTATGCTCAGTTATGAGCTTTAAAATTCTCTTAATATTATAATGCTTATGCAACACAAAATGCTAAAACGAAATTAATAGCCTTTCTGGGCAAATTGCTCCTTTGGGCTAATAACGAAGAATCTGCATAAATGTGTATACTTTTCTCGCACTGTGATAAAACAACGGTACCTTGAATCATAAAATTTTGAATAACGTTACGTCTCAACTCGAATATGGGCATCTCGAAGCAAAAATTTGGAATTTGTTTTAATATCTGTTTCATGTTTTGTAAAGCATTTATGAGTTTTTTAATTAAAAAACTCAACGATTTCAAAGCGAGCAATGGCAACACTGTACGGTTAAAAAAAATTATCTTCTGAGCGCGAGACTGTGTATCGGATAATATATATGATATAAAAGATATGCTCTTTAAATATTTTGTGATATTGCTGTTGAATTGAATTTTATGGCTTAAGTGCAAAGAACGTGATGTTTAATAAATAAAGGTAACACAAGAAACGTTAAAAACACGCCCCTTTGGGGGTAATATAAAATCTGAAAGCTTTCAGATTTTTTTTATTTACTGTATTATTTATTATTTTATATTTCCTTTTTTTCACTTCTCCTGATAGCTTTCTAAAGAGTTTCAGCTCTTCTGAGTTTGAAACATTAGTCCTGATATTAGTAACCAGTTTCCATTTAGATCTTCAGCACAATAAAACGTAATTTATAAAGTAGAACATTATTTCAATGGGAAACATTAAAACTTTAATTTTTCATATATTTCTGCTGAGAATGTCACGTACCCGTTATTGCCGTAAACTGAAAACCTACCATTCAATCATAATTTCGTTTATATAAGTTATTTACGTTTTCCGTTTATATACGTTATTACGTTGGTTAGAATGGCATATTGCTGAGAATGTCATGTACCCGTTATTGCCGTAATCTGAAAACCTACCATTCAATCGTAATTCCGTTTATATACGCACTGCAATAAAAAATGAGCACTCCATACTTTTTTAAGCCTCTAAAACTATCTGGTTCAACGTATTTGAACATCCATTACTGATTTACTTCATATCTGAATAGCAACATCAACGGCATCATAATTTTTTGCTTTGTTATCTATTAATCCAACTCAGGTAATTAAAAAATAAAACGAAAGCCAGGAAAAGATTATAAAAATTAATTATACTAAATCTTGAATTGTTATTAAATCTCTTAAGTTTAATGTATTATATAATTAAAGTCAAATTAAGTAACACTATAATCTTAAATTTTACCCTGTATTTGCCCTAGTCCAGTATTCGTGAACTGATTTTATTGGAGTATCTTGATCATGTATCAGCTCAAAATCTGTTTCTGTATGCAAAGTTGTTATTGGCCGAGCCTGAAAAATATTTTAGATTGCAGTAGAGATATTTTTTATGTTTAAAATGTACAGAAAGAATCAGTTTTATTGAATGTAAAAAAATTCTTAAGTCATAAAATTTAAGTTTTTTTTTATTATCATTATTAAGGTTTTAGTTCAAATTAAAACTGCTCTTTTCATTTATGAATGATTGATAAAGCCCTATTAGCGATTATTTTTCAGATAGAGAGGTTTAAAAAATACCTGAAGTAAAAATAAGTTATTCTTGTGAACAGCCCATTCTATATCTCGGGGACCACAGAAACATCTCTCCACCTAAAATTAAATATATCATTTTGATAAGAAAAATTATGCATGTAAAAACAAAATTTTTTATTGAAAAAGTAAGAAATATATCTCTAATAAAAATTTTTAATTCTTTTAATAACTTTTGACTTGGCAATGAGCATATCGATGGAATTCCTTGCAATATGACCATTGACAGAGGACGTAATGCTACCATCATTCGGAAAGATTTAGCTCAACAATTTAAAGATAAATTCATTTGGACGCCATCTTGCGTTACCCTAAAGACTGTGTCTGGTGATAAAATCGACTTAGATGGTAAGTTAAACGTGAAAAACATCACGTTTGGAAGTGCCGCCTACTATCACACGGCATATGTGCCAGATATTACAGATCCTTGCATACTTGGACTGAACTTTTTAAGTAAATAAAATTTTTCTTTGGACTTCAAAAACAACAAACTGCTTCCAGCATTAGAGGACATAACTATCCATCATCAGAAGAGATCCTTACCTGAAAACGCCGACGCCTTGTCTGAAAGACCCTGCTCAGAAAGCTGTTGAAATCATACTAGGGTCGAAGAGAAACACGAGACTACACTCTATTCTCCATCCCAGACGCTCATCGGTCGTGGCTTTCGTTTGCCTTATGATCTCTTGTCTGGTCGCTCTCTGGATGCGCCTTCATCGCCTGAGGAATACATCCAAGAGCTTCAGGCCCGGTTTGAAGTGATGCTTGCACGAGAGCGAGTCAACTTGGCGACGGAGAAGATGAAGACCCGATATAACATGAGAGCTACTGGTCATCGATACAACGAAGGAGACAAGGTGTGGTTGTGGAATCTGACTCGAAGGAAAGGACTCTGTCCTAAACTACAGTCACCTTGGGATGGTCCGTACACAGTCCTAAACAGTCTGAACTTCTGGTTCGGATCCGTAAGTCATCGAAATTTAAGCCTAAAGTCGTTCATTACGACAGGTTATAAGGTGTTTCTCCCTCCTTCTTAGCGTGCCTTCCTGGTGATGTGGTCTGCATGCTGGGCGTATATTCCAGAGGTCCGTGGTTCGATTCCCAGCGAAGGCGTTGCTCATTTTTCACATCTCATGCTTCCAAAAAGTGCCTAATATTTCTACAGTGGCGCCCGAACTAAAACGGGGGTGGATGATGATTCTCCGCACCCAAGATTTGGCGATTGGGTCCCCTAAAAACCCCATTCGCCCTTTAAAAGGATGAGTATATAAGGTGTTTCTCCGCTTTCTTAGCGTGCCTTCATGGTGTGGGGGCCTGCACTCTGGGCGCCTATTCCAGAGGTCCGTGGTTCGATTCCCGGCGAAGGCGTTGCTCATTTTTTACATCTCTTGCTTCCAAAAATACCTAATGTCTCTGCAAGGTTAGCTCCTTATTCTTGGCAATAGTACGTAATATATATAATGTAAATAGTATTAGAGTATGGTCCTTTTTGTTTCTAAGTTTGTAAATTTCTGCACTCATTCATTGATTTAGTATTTGATATGTTTGAAGTTACTTATTGCAATTATTGTTTATGTTGTTTGTTAGTGTAATTTAATGTTTATTACTTCATTTATGCTTTAGTTTTAAGTTTCGCTTCCTGTCCAGGGAATTGTACGGCCCGGGACGTGCAGTCCTAGGGAAGGGGGCAGTGTTAGGAATTTTGTATTTAGTTAGATATTTTTGGTAGAATTATAATTAAAGGTGTTTTATTTCCCCGTACAATGCAGCACGAGACATATTTTAAGAGAAAGCCGGAAAAGTGAAATTACAGAAACAAGCGCGTTTAACATTTAATAAATAGGTATTTCGCAATTTATATTTAATTTGAATAAATGTTATTGACTACCATGTTAGCTGTAACCGTAATTCTACTCTTTTTTGCTTTCTAGACATTGCTAGAAGTATCTCGCGCAGCCGATTTAAAAAACTATAAAATACTAGAGAGAGCACATCTCAGTTCAGTTGCTTAGTTACTGTTTTGCGACTTGTTTAGTAAGCTGTTGTTGTTGTTGTTGTTATTGTTCATCGAACTAGGTTTCTCTGCACTTTGGATTGCGTTCTATTTAATGTTTTAGTAGTTTAAATTATAGCTACTGATTATATTGCGTGATATTGTGCGAATATGTTTGAGGTAAAAATCCAGTGTTTTGTTATATTCCTTGTGATAAGAATAAATTTTATTAACTTTTTATCGGACTTGCGCATTCAATCTATTACGAACCCCTACGCACGCAACAGTTTTATAATGGGAAACTTTATTTCTAAAATGCACTCCCATTTTATTATTCATATCATAGAAATACCGGAGTTACAGTCAGAGTTACTAAAGCAGAATGCAACCTATTTTTATGTCAATTACTGTTTTCCTAAAAAAAAAAAAAAAAAAAATGTTTAAATCTTTTTCTTACTTTTACCATTTTCTGAACTCTGTCCTATAACATGGCTACTTTTCATGTACAGTTTTCATTATTTACAGAACGCTTTTTTCAATCGGCCGGCTGTTAGGTAGGGGCGCTTGAAATGCGTGGGGTAATAGACTTACCCTCTGGCTCATAGGAAGTTTCGACGAAGTTCCAATAATGCGTATCTTTCATTTGCCTAGTCTGCGAAAAAGTGCAATAGTCCCACTGTCTCTTGAAACGGGCAGTTCATAGTCACGTAAAAAGGTTATCACATCTAGCGACGGTCCCTGCTAGACGGGACTTTTCTGAGAAACGAGATTCTGGTAGCACTGGTTTAAACGGGAGGATTCCTAGAAAAAAGAGCCCCGCTGGAAGCGAAGTCCCGCCTAGCTACGGAAACGATGTACCGGCTAGGATACGAGGAATTTTTTTAAATCTCCCCGAAAATATTTTGGCTGAAGCTCTGTCTCACGTAGAGATCAACCAATCAGACGAAAGTTCTGCTTCTGAAGGATCACGTGATTCCAATCTGAGCGATAATCAATTACTGTTTGACGTTCATGTCTTTGTAGAAATTGAAAATTGTAACATAGCTACGTGGGTTTTCTGGAAATGTGCAGGTTCTGAGAATTGTTCCTTTCGATGTCGAGTCCCTCGTAGCCGAAACATAGTGTGATTGGGACTTAAGGCTGAGTTGTAGTAAATCCCAAGGACTTCATCTAGCTTACTGGGCAAAAAATGTCACACAAAATGGGGGAAGGATTGGTTATCACTAAGTCCATCACGTTTAGGCATGAATTTTCGATTTTTTCTTGTTTTGTGATCTGCTAATAAGATGTAAAAGCGTCCCCCATATTTTGTCACCTGTTTTGTACGAAGCTTTTTATCGACGACGATCATAATATGTTTTCCGCTTGTCTTTCTGTACGATGGGCAAATTGTTTGAGATATGGCGCTATCTCATCCACGAAGTTATCTTTGTCGATTGGTGCTCTTAGGTCGGGAGTAACATTATCTGTTGTTCTTAATTCTGTGGAAAATCTCTGCTTCACCTTTGTTTCTCTTATTTCTTCTAGAAAAAATCACATTAAAAATTTTTAAATCGAGTTTAAGATAAAAAATAATCATAATTTCTCTATAAGAGCTCTCGAACTTGGAATACAACAGAAAAGAAAGCATACGAAAATGGCGACGTTGGAAACTGGATATTTGCCATGTGCATGATTGCCAGAATAATTATTATTCGTCTGGTTACCAGAGTTTGGTCTATTCTGAAAATTCGGAGATTTTTTAGTAACCTAGTTGCGATAATACTTAAGTATTTATAACTGTTGCAATTCTCATACAACAAAGTATTTACAAACTTGATTTCTTTCTGATAGAGTTAGATATTATGAATATTCTCATATTAAATACAAAAACTAGTTTTTTAAAAATAGCATTTACAAAATGCGATGAAAAGATTTGGAAATTTTATATTTTCAGATGCTGCAATGAGAAGGCTTACGAGATAGAACATTTAGAATCTTATGTTTGACTACAGATCTTCTGAATGAGAAGTGCAAAGCTTAGAAATTGTCTCAAAAAGAATGTCCCGAAACTTTCCTAAAAAATTCATCAACCCCTCCTACTTTCTGTGACACTTGTTTTTAATTTATTTGTAGGTAAAGATGAAGACAGTGTTTCAATGGTTGAAAACAGTTCTGCTAAAACAAATTTTTTCTACTCATATTTTTGTTGTTTTTCTTGCTTATTTTTGAAGACATAGCAGCTCAATTTATTTTAGAATGTCTGCTTCAGTTAACAGTAGCATAAAATCAGGCAAACTATTCCATGTAAAACCTGTTTTATAATAAATAAAGTGTTAAACATTAAATTTATTGAAAACTGCATTACAAATGGAAAATCGAATGGGTGGGCAGGTATTCACTGTTAATGTATGCAGCTAAATATACAAGGAGATGAAGAATGTTTGAAGCAATGAACCTAACATAGCTGCTGGAAGATGAAAGGAAGCAATAGTAAAAAATTCATCTACCTTTTAGTGAAGCTCGAAAATGGCTGGCTGAAGACACTTGACATTTAGATTCATTAATGTTTCAGCAATATTTGTGTTCTTAGTTTATCAAATTTTGGTTTAACAATCTGCAAGCTAAGTATTCTTTGTTTGATTATTCTTTCTAACATGGTCTGAAAATATCATATCGGTCTCGCACATGACTATTTTAGAAAAGATCAAAATACAAAATACAATTTATATTGAATGCGTATTCCTTCTGCAACATAGTAAACCGGAAAACTGCAGTTTGAACCATCGTAAGGTCGGGTCTTATTTGTATTACATTCATTACGATAATAATCTTTATTTATTGAAACCATTTACCAGTATAATATTATTTCACTATATTCTAAACGGCAATCAAATTTACTTAAAATTCGAAATAGGAAAGGAAAGTTATTTAGGTACAATAGCAGTTGAGAAATTATTTTGAACATATATGAGTTTTCATTTAAAAAAAATTTATTCAAATTTTTAGCTTAAATGTTCCATGCATTAGTTTAATGAATCGAGAATAGCAACACCGCCAAAAAATTTGTTTCAAGGAAAGAACTTGAAATACATACCAGAAGTCCAACATTACCTATCTCCTCAGCCCATTCATCGCTTAAACACGCAACTTCAGATTGATTAGTAAGATTCTTCTGTTCAACTCCATCACCAACTAGCAATTGAAAAATCTTACTAATTATCATAAGAATATCTGTCATGGGATATCATAAGAATTGAAATTGAAACTATAATAAGAATTTTGATGAAAACTTCCTGAAGATACAGCTATAAAAATCTGAAATTACCTTTCATGAACACTTGAGTTTGTTTAGAGCCAATAATTTTTTCAAATATAGATACTGTATTGTTTGCTTTTCTTTGAAGGATAATAGTATCTGGTTCAGCTAATGATGATACTACTGTCTGAAAGAAAACCAGTAATTAATTGCCTTTTGAGAAGAGCAAAAAACTAAGACAATATACAGGAAAATTACTCAAATTTTTATTTTTTTGTGGGAGTTTAGGATATTTTTAAATCTGTTTGGCTACGAAGCAAATGCATGTCTTCTAGTATTCTACGTAATATTTAGGAAATGTTTTAAATCTAAAATACATATAATATTACTGAGTTACCAAAATAGTACACAGCAAACATTTACATATATATTATTATTATATTTCAACAACAATGGTTGTAGATTTTCGTAAAATTGTTCATATAGGTTATACTTGGTCTGTTACTGTAACTTTAGTCCTAATAACCTTACCAGACAAATAGCGAAATATCACTATATCTGAAATAATACAATAAAGGCTTGAAAAAGATTTAAATATTATATTTATTGTTTAAATTAATATTATATTTTATTAAACAGAACTTTGGACATAAGGGGCACCAGTTCATGATGCAAATAACCAATATTTGTCGCCAGGTAACTTGAACAGACAAATAAAGTTTAAACGTTGATATCTTTGTAGTGTAAAAATACAGAGTTACAATAACTTAATCTATATTCTGGCCCAATCTAACTTTACAGGTGCGTGCGTTCAAAATCTGCAAAGTCTGTATAATGATATTTAGCTAAATCTGGCTGGATTCCAACAACACTACGTAAGTGCCAGAATTTCTCTCGATCCAGAAGGCCCTCAGCTTAAATAGTTAAATACACTACAAGTTAATTTACATTAATAATTAATTTTAAAAACATGAAAGATAAAAATCATAATAACTAGTCAGTTTAACATAAATAATCGTCAAGTAAAGATCGAAATCATAATAACTGGTTAACATAAGAACAGCTATAGTTTAACATAAGAACCTTACGTAGTCATTAGAAGTACACATAATGAAATAATAAATAAAATACGTCAAAGAATATATAAACGTAATAGTTAGTGTAATATTATTGCATGTACCAAGATGCATGGCGAAGTGCGAAGTTAAGATATAAAGTAGAGCTAGATAACTTTATAATATCGGTTTGGAAAATCATGTGAAATCAATGTATGCACTGCGATACTGAACGGTATAAAATTTACTTTAAATATACTGAAAGAAATATAATTGTTACTGAGAGAAATTTCTCTCGTCTATCAGACTCACTATTACGTCTAAAATTTTTGTCTGGATTTTCAGATTTTAATGTTTAGAAAATTAGCCAATTTAAAAATTCACTCTGTTTTCTAGTAGAGTACAATATCTTAGACAGATCGTTACGAAACAATATCAATGATTTATCGTGCAAAGAAAGCCAAAAGTACGTTTGAAGACGCTTTTAAACGCGTAAAATTTCTGAAATTAATTTGTGAAGGAAAATGACAGCTTTATCAGTTGGTTGGTTTAGTGATTGTAATAAAGAAATGAACAGGTATCTGCCAAGATAGAGTAATTAACATCCAGGAAAATTTCTCTAAGGAAAACTGATTCGTATTTTCATTCCACTGCAGATACAGCCTGTTCAGTTATCGTGAATTCAATCCAAGATGAGCTATCAGAATTCTATAATTTCAGATTCAGGAAGGCTATAGAATCTTCTATAGAGAAAAGAAAAATGATTTTCTCTGTGGCCACTAGAATAAAGTATTTGGTGCACCGTTAGAAATGTAGCACACAGCAAGTACATAGTATCTAAGAAATGCCTATATCCCTGGTTTAACTACCACACAGAGCCAATGTCAATGTAATTTTAGTTTATTTATTTAGTACATACTGCAGTTGAATACTCATTCACAGTACGAACTATGTGTCCCATGAATTTGTATATGCTCCTCCATGCTGTGCACACAGGTAAAGGTAGAAGCAAGGCCATTATCGTTATAATAATAGAAGTGATTGAGGTTGTAATGCGCTTATTTTAAACTAACCAGTTATTACGATTTTGAGCTTTGCTTTAATTCTTTCCGTATTACTCACTAGAATGCAAATTAACTTGTAGATGCCTTTAAGCTGAGGCTTTTGATTTGTTATATAGAGTCTCTGCCATTCGGGCTGCGTGGTTAGATTTCTGCAAGCTCTATCATAATGCAATTACCTCGGCTTTGCATGCTGTAACAACCGATGCTTTAAACTTAAGCGCCGTTAAATTATTTGAAACAGTTTGTACCTTAGTATTTAAATGTATAGTCATACACTATTGATCAACGTTTAAATTGTTTTGACTGCTCTTATTCAATTTGCATTGCCACGAGCAGTGGTTATCTGTAGCACGAGCAGAGCCGTGTTTTGTTACAAGTTCTGTTCAATAGAAAGGTTTTTTGAAACGTTTCTAAGTCTTTTCTTATAATTTTAGACATAGCGATAACTCGCTACTCGTCTATTAGGGTTATGGGAAACAGTTATAGTAATAGACAAAACATAACTTATAAGGTATTGCTGAACCCAGCTAACTGTTAGGCTTTTGCTCTACTTTTGAAGGAGAGCTTCCCTGGGCGGTTCGAGAATCTGCAACCCCTCTTCTCTTGTGTATTTTGGATGTCTCCTTCCACCACAGATACGAGTATTATGCGCTTACAAATATCCATTCCTTCTCCGGGATTTCAGGTCAGAGCCCATCGGTGCGATAGTCAGCGTCAGTAACCTCTATACCCGCTGAGTGGCGTGCTGTACACATAGATCTGCATATCCTCCTTAACACTCTGCAGAGCATCAGAGGCGTTATCTTGCGAAAGGCTCCTTCCACATCGTGGGGGACAGTAGGGGATGGAAATGTTTGAGGTCCATACCAAATGCAGAGAATGTAAATTAGTTATTTTTAAAATCATTTACCTGAAGAACAAAATGGGCATGAGTCCCGTCTTGCTGTACTCACGACTGATCCATGACACCCTTTCTGTGCAGCTAGGTATTAATCACATTTGCAACATGTGTAAATAAGAATGTTCCTTTACATATTCATAAAAAAATATGGCCCTGAGCATGAAAGCAATGTTTCCAATACCACAATATATTGCAACCAAAATTACACTGACAATTTTCTTTGAGATACCTAGGGATACGAGAACTTCCCAGATACTCGCTATAATAGTCACATCCCATTATACTGCGTTAAGAATGATGTAATATTAAGAACAATAAGGGGGTTATCTATCTAAGGGAAGGGATGCCTTCATGGAGGGCTTTCTAAGGAAAGCTGGCTCATACACAAATTACACGTGGGGAAAACCAAGAAAACCCTCATTCAGCTAGCCTGTACTCGGTATTCGAACTTTGGACCGAACTTACCAGAGTTAAGCCATTTTACCGAGCGGCCTCTGGTGTCTCAGTCTGGGTTTGAAACTACTGTTTTAAGTTATATTAACACTTAGGTTTAAGTTAAATTCTCTTGTCTTTCTCTTCACTCGTCACTCGCTCAAACGTTATGAAAATTTGATTGCAAGAGGCTTAGTTTATAAATAAGTAAGCCTAGTGAAATTTGCATCGCATTACTGCGCCTTGCCCATGAAAGTCGCCTGCAGTGATTATGTGTATGTGCGATTATGGAAAAGCCTCGAGGGCTATCTGTTTAAGTGGAGAAATGCCTTCGTGGAGGACTTGGAGGACTTTCTAAAGGAAACTGCTTCATATACACGTTACACATGGGGAAAACCACGAAAACGCACATGCAGTTTGCGGGATTCGAACTTCCGACCGAACTACCAGTGTTCAGCGACTTTATGCTGTGATTATGAAACAGTACCAGAGTTGCTCGCGTGCTCAATAAGTTGGTGAACAGTAAGATATCTATTTAGATAATCTATTTTATTATTTTAAGTTTCTTTAAAAGCCACCTGGAGTGTCAAATAAAGTTTTTGCTTAAGTTTTACATTTTGAGTGGTATTTGTGTATTTGAGTGGTATTATGTAGAAAAGCAAAGGCTATAGCTCGCCAAGTATACACATAACTTCTTTGGATTAAGAAGCTTATTTATTTCTATTATGCTTCTATGTCATACCATAGAAATTATAATTATTAAATAAAAGCAGTTAATTTCTTTCTGGTTTTATCTAAATTAAATATAAATAAAATATATATGTTACCGTAATCATTGGAAATCTCTTAAAACGTGAACTCATTAACAAAAATGCAAAGCTTCTTTGAGTCCTAAGACTTCTTTGAATCAAAGCTTCTTGTGTCCTTGAGTATTTATAACTTGGGATTTTTACTAATAGAATGTAGACGTTACTAATGGTGTCAGAAAATTTCCTAAGTCAACATCCTCTGTTGCTACGTATCTAACAGCAAATATTCGAATCAAACAGAATGCTACATTTACATTTTTCAAATAAAGATTTCTTTATTAAAAAGTCAAAAGTGAAATCAGTAAAAGAAGTTAAGGATATGGTTTCCATTGTCCATCATTTAAATTCATTCTTTTTTAACATTTTTATTATTTAGTCGGGCATTCTGGTTACTACGTTTGTACACGAAAAGTCCTGACTTCACGATGATAAGAAAAAGTTGATTTTCTTGTTGGAAAAGAATTTTCTAATCTTTATTTTTTAAATGCAATAAACTTTTATTTGGTAAAGATAATAACTTAGCAATTTTACTTCTGAGTTGGCGTTATAACGAATTTCTGGTTACGATGTGAAAGGAATATAACAGAGTTATTTTATATATTATATATATATTAACTTGATAATCCTTACTTCTCCTAATCCATAATTTGCTGTAATATAAGGATGGGATGGATCTCCGGTAACTGGATTCACTGTGAATAGGACTCCAGAGAAATCTGCAGGGACCATTTCCTGGATGACAAGAGCCATAGGTTCTCTGATAGATTGACCGTTCTGTCTGTAACAGTTAAACATTTTATAGTAGCACTTAGTTCTGTCTGTAATAGTTAAATATCATATATTATCAGTAATAAATACTATATATTATCAATAAATTCCAATAATTGCCTAAATATTAGTAAATAATTTCATAATCAAGGTTTTATCAATAAGTTTAATGTTAGCAGGAATCTCATAATAATTTTTTGCAGTCAAAGCCTGAAATCCGTATGCTTGAGAAAGTATCGGTAATTATGAAATAAAAATTAGAAAATACCTTGCATATTGTACCGCTTCATATGAAAATTTGGAGGACCAACACTTAATGATAGCGTCTGCAATCTATAAGAAAAATATTTTGTTAATTTCTTAGTTACAATGAGTAATAATAATATAAAAGGCTTTGAAAGAGGTATTCTGATGAAAGTTTAATGCAAACAAGTAGTTTCCATGAAAAATGCAAAAATTCTTCAACATTTATGTGTAAAATTCTATACCTCTCTCTTTCTCTTTCTGTTTCCCACCCTCCGCATAATACAAAACGACAATATTCAGCTTATCGTATATATTAATTTCAATTGAAAGTGCTTAGTTCATTTCAAGAGATCAAAAAGTGGTCCCTTGTAATGTGCATGCATTCTCAGTTGACCTCTGTCTATGGATCGCTGGAAACGAAGACTGTCTGTGAAAGCCAATGGGTCTGGTTTCGAAATCCATATAAGGCGGGAAAATTCGTATTTGTAGTGTCTTTGTGAAAAATCAGACTCTTAATATTTGCCAATGCTAATGACAAATGCTAATGGCTTTCGAGAGGCTGCTTGTAACCCAACAAAGGCATTAAGCCCTTGGATTCCATTCCCTTCGGTGCTCTCAATCAAAATTTGAATGAAGCATAGGCATATAACCCTCACCCGCTTTGCCTAAATTAAATAATCGAATTTAAGTTTCAAAAATTGAAGTCAACAAAAGCTGAATTTTAGAGCTTTTTGAATTCAGTTTATGTAAAGGTATTATTTAAGAATAAAATTAATTTTTTTAATAAAAAAAAAAGGTTTATTTATTTAAAGAAACATTAAGAGTAATACTCCAAAGTTACGCCATAGGCGGGAACCACGAAAATCTTAGTCGAGACTTACTCGCGTAACTTCAGTAGTTTTTCTCCTATATATGAATCTTAGTTAAGTAAGACCAGAAGGGTGAAAAAATGATTTAGAAGAAACGTTTGTAATAATGCATGTAGTTTTCTCACATATTGATAAAAAAGAGTATTAAAACGAATGTGCTAGTTAAAACGACGTTATTTCAGTGAAAGTGACTTATTGACAATATAAAATTTATAGTGTTAATAATAACCATAAAATGCCAATGACAATATAAAATTTAACAAACTGACAACCAAATGATATTTTTTAACACCCAAATTTTTTTCGAAATGATTTAATGATACTTTTATTCCTTGCCTTAAAGTTATAAAGCGCGTTTATTAGAGCCTATGCTTTCCAAAATTTATAATCCGTTTTCCATTAAGCCGAGACCTACTGTTAAGCTTGCAATTATGATGCACTTTTCCAGTAATTCTATGCATGAGGTGTCCTTTCTTCTATAGCAATTTGTCAATGAATCTGTTAGTAGTGATTTGATCGCACCTCGATTGTTAGCTCTTTGCTATTTGAGTTCAACTGTCTTTGCTATTTGAGTCCAACTATCTGGCATAATTAGTGTCAGCTTCCAAATCTAACTGCCTGGCAAAACTGAAACCTTCGATTGCATAAATGCCTTGAAATTTTTTGCCGTTGTTTTCCTCTCACTTTTAAAAAGAATGAATGACTTTTCGTCTACAAAATTCAAGGGCTTTTTGGAAATACATTCCAGGATTTTCCAACAGTTCTTAAAGCACCTAAAACTGTGAATTGTGTCCGCTCAACTTCGCGGGATATTATTATATTTTTATGTTACTAAAAGTTAGACCTTTTAAGTTAAATAGATTATAGTGTTAAATTTACTAGAAAATGCGAAATGCAGTTTTATCTTCAGCTTGTATGATACAGATCATAAAGACCTGAATAACGCGTTTAGTTTTACTAACTTTTTGTTTACTTTGAGATGTATCTCAGTACGCTCACAATTGTCAATAAAAGTATTGAACTTTTCAATTTTTAAATGAGATTTGAATAATATCTATGGATAATTCTTAATATATTTAAAAATTATTCGTAAAAATTACAGTTTACCTAACAGGTCTATCAATCAAATCATTAGGCCACAAATTTTTCTCCACAATAGCTAAAGCTTAAAATATAAAATACTCTCTAACTTAAAGAAGATTATAATGAATTACTATGTGGCTAATGCTAAATGACTTTATAACTTTGATTCAGATCCTGTGTCGCTTCTAGAAGCGAAATGTAAAGGCTTTAAATAGACAGAACACTGACATTAATTATTTAGTTAAGCAAGAAATTTCGGTTAGTTGACAAAGAATGATAACTTCCATAAACCATAAATTAAAATTTCTCTCAAAGATCCCTGACGTCCTTTGAATTATATTCTTTTCATTTATAATGACATTATGTTTAGATACTAAATTATTTTCAGTAAATTAGAGGATTTATTTATTTATTCATCGCAGAAATGGCAGCTGGCTTGTGAAATTAGGGTATTAATATTTATTCATATATTTTTGTGTTTCGTTTCATCCTATCAACGTGTCCAGTTTAGCAACAGTTAATAAAAATTCACTTTCTTTGTTGAGCTATGCTCTCAATCAAATTTAAATTCGACTTCTGGATAAAGGGAAGTTAGCGCAGGATATAGTTGTAATAAAAGATATAATATTATAATATAAATTTCAAATTAAAGAGGTATATAAAAGCAATTTACGTTATTTATTCCTCTGATACCAAGAACAGTTAACATTTGTCCCGCAGCAGATAGGTCTTCACTGTCTTCTCCTGAGAAATAAAGAGAATTCATGTTTATGTTCATTTCAATAGAAATAGGGAATATAATTACAAATTTTACATTTGATCCACATCCGAAATCCAAAATTTTTAAATTTTGAAATAGTAATACATAGGATGTTCCTCGTGTTAATGGAGGTGTTAATGGTTTAGGTAGTACGATGCTCCACAGTTTTAATTCATAGAGCAGACGAAGCCCATGATCCAGTATACTATCATAAGTAATGAAACGCTTGGGTGAGAGAATGCATATGTCACATGTTACTTTCAGCTTTTAGCCCATCACTGGTCGAGTGGTTAAGCCACTGAATACCAGTAGCTCGACCCTGGATCTAATCCAGGCAAACGGATTGGATATAAGTGAGTTTGCGTGATTTCCCATATGTAACAAGGAAACGAGACAGTTTCTCTTAGAAAGGTCTTTCTCGAAGCCATGCTTTCTTGGCAGAAAGATTCCGTGTCTTAAAAATTTAGCAAGTAAATTACTTTTCAAAGTGACAAATATTAACAAAAAAATTTACGGATGTGTAAAATTGAAATCAAGAAATTGGTTCATATTCTTAAAGTAAAATTAAGGAATTTGTTCATATTCTCGTATTACTGTTTCTGTGGGAAACGATCATGCAGAAAATAATTGAAATATTGACGGAATTTGTCAGTTTGCAGCTGTGTATTTCGAAAAATTTAGAATTTTTCTGATAAATTTAAATTAATACAAGCTGAATTTAACAGGCTCAGAAATTTTATGTCTATTACACTCTCTTATTGAAAAATCATGATAAAGATTGATGATAATAAGAAAATTTCTTTATGGATATATGAAATAAATAAATGAATTTAAATCCTTTTCACCGTAAGCACAGGAGTCAAATATGTCACAATTTTTGAAATATAAAATGGAGAAAAAATTACATACGCAAGCCAGTCTTTAAAAGGTTATTTAATGCATTCATTTTTTTACAAATGCAATAAATACTAAATTCAAATTTTGATGAGAAGGTGTTTTTCATTTTATATTGAGGGATTAGTTTTAAATGCATCAAAATTAAATTTGTTTTAAATAGGAAGCAACGTATTTTTTATATTTTTGTTCAGATGCTATTTTTAAGAAACTTTTTAACATTACGCCGAAACAATTAATGATTATTTTTTAACCTGAATTTTAATATCTCGAATATTATCTGTTAGAATTTTCTCATACACTGCTTAGCCGTTCAGACGGGATAGTGGTTAGTAACGTAAACCGCTAATTTGCCACTCGACCCAGGTGTAATTCTTATATCTATGCGGAATTCGTCACCAACCCAGAAGATGCCAACCACTATCCGCCAGATCACAGATCACTATCTTCCACCACTGATGCAGTGGAAGCAAGCTTACCATAATCTGCAGAGCTGCTTCGAAGTAGTACGTTACGTCCTGCATACCACAAGAAGCTATTGTCTCTGTATTATCAGTTGTGATCTCCTCATGTGGGCTGTGAGAGTAATAATAATAACTGGACTGTGAGAGTAATCATAATAAGCTCAATTGCTTTTGCGTATAAAACAATTCGTCCCCCTACCACCGTGTACTATAGTTTCAGTAAGTTTCTTGTGGTATCTTAATGAGGTTATGTAGCACATGCTGCTGCTAAGGGCATTAATCCTCTATTTCGTTGAGGAAATACGAGGTTGCCCCATGAAAGTCTGTTATCCAGGATTATTTTTTCTTACTTGAGTTCCTTGATATATTTAACTGAAAGAGCTTATAGATTAAGAACGCAGGAGAACAAATTGAATTGAAAAGCCCAGGAAACATGGATTCCTGCGCAGTGGTGGTCCTCGACCTATGATAAGTGCCTGTGTCTTGAGGACTGAGCAAATACATAAAGACACTCCTGGGTTCTTATTTCCAGGTTGCTAGGGATTTTTACAGTGAGGAGAAAATCATCTGCTTAGGCTGCGTCTTTCTTACCGTTATCAAAAAGAGAGAAGAGAGTACGGGCCACGATGTTATAGAAAATAAGTCCAAGCTACAATCTCCAAAGCCACCCCCTCTCAGATTTCTTCTCTTCTTATCCCTCTATCCAGGAAAATTTGAGGTTGTCTTGTTTCTTAATAGCTACGCAGTAGATGATGAATAGAGGTCGGGCATTTAAAACATTTCAGACAATGATATTAACCACTACAGTAAGTCAAATGCTCTCTTAACGCCCAGGGCAAAGACTGCTGTGTGGCTTTCTGATCAGTTGATATAAATTGCATCTAAAAATTTGCAGAGTGCATGCTTTGTTGAATGACTAGTGTTGAATCCATATGCTATCCAGTGCATGTGAATCCAATGAATCCATATCCAGTGCATGCTATTGGAACTGTTAAGGTAACATAGGAGCTTGCTAAGCCACAGTCTCTCCAGTTGCTTTCCCAGTGCCGAAGAATGGCCCACTGGCCTATAAGAAGAGTACAGGCTTCAAGAAATCAAGGACAGGCTTCAAGAAGAGGACAGGCTTCAAGAAACCAAGGACAGGCTTCAAGAAGAGGACAGGCTTCAAGAAGAGGACAGGCTTCAAGAAACCAAGGACAAGCTTCAGGAAGAGGACAGGCTTCAAGAAAGCATCAGCTCCGATGTCTACGTACTTGTAAAGAAATGCCGAAGATGCCAGCATGCGATCAGGTAAGCTGTGGAAACTTTTGGTGGGTGTCTTTTATTAGAATATTGTCAACTCCGTCCGGGCCTGGGGCTTTTCGTTTGACTATTCTGTTTATTTCGACTGGGAGGAGAGTGATTCTGTGTCCCGCTGGTGCTAACTAAGTTACTGGCATCAAACTTGTGTTTTAGAATATAACGGATCTCCAGATCATTTTCTGTGTTATTTTTCAGGAAAGACGCTGTCGAAAAAATATTTGTCCATAATGGAGTTTGCAGTTGGAAGGATTATTCCAAGCAGAGAGACAGGCCTTTATTCTTTGCTATTTTATACGTCTGGTGATATTCTTACGTTGTCTCTGTAAAATTTCTCTAGGATGAAAGTTTTGTTCTGAAGACATGCTTCTTATAGGTGGTCTGTGCTATTTTAAAGTCTAGCATAAGTTGACTTTTGAGGTACTGATCATAGATAACCTGTGCGCAACTACGTTCAGTTTGCAACGTTTGCATCCACCAGTGAATCATCTTAGGACGTAGTCAGACGTTAATTCTATAAACATTCCTATAGACAGTGTCAGTCGCCTGGCATTCTTTGTTGAACCTGTGCTGGTTTCTACTGGTGTTAATAAGATGCTTAAGAGTGGAACTTTCGGTTCAAGAATGTTTAAAAAAATTGAATGTCCACCATATATTATTTTATATCGTCTCTTGACAACATAGATAACTAACATGCCAAATGTCTAGGTGATTAGTTGATGATTACCTAGTGTAGCGACATACTCTTCGCTCCAATTCTGAAGGTATGGAACTGTCTGGGCGATAGTGATATCTGGTTATTTTTCCTAACGTGCAGTGCAGACGTTTGGCAGCGAATCTGTAGCATTAATTTGAACCAGGTTATTAGCGGCCATAACATCAACCACCTGGCTGCATCTTCTCTTCTAGCTTCCCAGAGCTCGGGAGCTCGGGTCGTTGAAGTTAACTAAGCAGTGACACCATGAGTGGCTAGAAAGGGGAGTCCACTTTCCAGTTCTTTAATGAGTATTTTCATGCCTACACTCAGCGGGAAGTAGACGCAGCCAGTTTTTGCGAGCACGCTTCTTGCAGTATCGTGACTGCATGTTCAGTTCTTTGGAGGAACATTGGTGAAGGTGAGGCCCTTCGGAGATGATGCCTGCTAGACAGTTATTCGACAGAATGCAACTGCTTCCTGTCGAATAACTGTGGAGTGCTGTGGAATAATTGTGGGAGTGCGTTTGCTTGTGTTCGGCGTTTCAATGATCCTGTCATATATGGTAAAAGACTCTTGAATCATTATTAAATCCACTTTTATGTGCATCATGATCTACATGATGTTAAGTGTATCTGCTCGGGATCTCTATAGGTTGCACTGCTTGAAAGCTAGTCCTAGGAGGGATTGCTACAATGCACTCCACCTTAGAACTCCACCTTATGACCTTAGTCATAAGGTGGAGTTCTAAGAACTGTTCCTAAGTTGCTGCAGAATAGTCTTTTATATATGATATTCTGTAGCTCTTAGCTTGATAATTTATAGAGCAGTCAGTACATTTAGTGGCATTTGAATAGACGCGTCCGATAGATGGTTCTATCCACACTTAAAGCATGCTGCAGTTTTATTACAGGTTCTACTGATATGCCCATACTTCTGGCAATTGGAGCATCTGATAAGCTTCATGCATTTCTGAATATGGCAGGAATTGAAGCCTATGAAAAATCCTCCCAGGGTCCAGAACCTGATCTTAGAGGGAAGGGTCTTTGTCAATAATCCAGCTTTTGCTGTCTGGATCTCTGTTTTTGAATAATCTTCTAACGGTTACCACTTCAAAATCTTCTCTCTTTACCAATTGTGCGACTGCTGTGGCAGTCTGTTCAGCTTACAGTTCTTCTAGTATCCCAAAGATGAACAGAACATCTCCTTTAGGCCTTAGAATCCGAAGGGTTAGAGATTCTTTCATATGGCGTGTTTTTTAATGGCCCTTTTAATGGTGGAAATAAATAACGTGGACATACACCTATTGTCCACGTTAGAGTCCACAAGTAGCTCTCTAGAATAAGTCGGACGTATTTGTATAATAGCCCTTCCCAACTGAAGCCATGTGAGTTCCGCGGCCAATTGTGTCCTTGAGATTGATCAGAAGAATATGATCAATCCTGAAGGAGTTTGAAACTGGACTGTTGGTCCTACAAGCGAAGTTGGAAGTAAAAGCTAATGAAGGATTCACTGGCCATTTCCACTGGCCGTTGCAGATTAGTAAAAGGTTTATTGTCCTCTACTTTTACTTCGGAACCTTCATTCTTAACTTGTGTTTCTTCTAACTTGGAGTACGTTATGAGGGTGCTTGTGTCCACTTTCTTTAGTTTATGAGTGGATTTACTGGAAGTGAGTAACGATAGTATCCTGTCACAAATCTTATTGTGGGAATTTACTGTCTTTAATACTTCCTAGCCACCGTCAGTCTGTCTTTCTAAAACTAATGATGTTAAAGTCACGAAATTTGTATGAACGGGAAATGTGGATTGAGCAGGAGATGTAGCCATGTTAGACATGACAGAAATTAAGCATATGGTGCTACGCTAATTATAAACCGTAAACCATAAGCAAAGTAGATAGCATTGAGTACTATGATGTTGTAGTCACTGTTAAAAGTATTCTAATATTCTTTGTTATAACAGTCTACAATAAGAATACACTCAGTACTAAAAAAAACATTCATTACTAATACAGTAGCACTAACAACTAATTACTGATACTCTTGCTGACATTATATTACTGATAACTAATTACTATAACACTTACTGACATAATATTACTAACCACATACACTACACAATGTTACTAACGATCAACAACGCAATATTTATACAAAAATACTAACAATTACTAACAATAAATTTGCACAATATTATTATTGATTATTTACACGATATAATTAGCAATTGTTAACACAATAATTGCGCAGTATTACTGATAATTACTAACACTATATTACTGATAATGAATTACTTAAACTAATTATAATACAATATTGCAAATACAATATTACGAACAATGACTGCTTAAGAAGTTACTAATTACAAATATTATACGACGATAAAATTTACATTGTTATTAGCTATTCACAAATATTACAATCGTCTTGCTAAATACTTTTTCTCTTCCAAAGTACTGAGTTACTAATGTTAACAGAAAATCGCATGTATAACTTCGGTTATACATGCATAGGGCATGGTTATACATGCCATTTCATGGGCATAGGGCAGGCGTTTAGTCCTAAGATGAAAAATTTTTTAAGCACTGATTGCAAACAAAAAAACCGTCAGGCAAAGAAATAGATAATGAGGTAAATGCTCACTGATTACAATACGTCACTTGTAAGTCAGAACTGAATTGTTACTAATGTAACTGAAAAATTATTCTGAGCTGTTTTGAGAATGCTGACTGAATGAAAAACTCCATCGTCTGTTTTATGGCCATGACACTTTGTTTTCAAGACTAAAATAATCACATACAAAAGAAAGCAACCTACACTGAAAGGCCAATGGAAATAATTGGCAGCAATTACGTTGTATAATATGAAGCAAACACACTTAGAATAAAAAGAGCATAGTGTAACTTTTATTTAATCTATTTCTATAAAAGAAGCATTCTTTATGATTAAGTTTTCCCTCTCAAAGTAAACTGTAAAATATAGGACTATACATATAATAGGTAACTGTTTTCCGCTATTGCTTAAATGTTATATGTTTGATGAACATAATAACTAATCTGTATACTGTAAAGGTTGATACAAAATAAATAGATTTTTTTCTTTGAAAATATGCAACGTGCTACATTAAATTTTATATTTTTAAACTTGTGAAAAATCAAAATGCATAATTGACCTTGAAAGAAGAGCAGCCAATCCGGATAATTGAATTCCAAGTATTTAGAGTGGGAATTATTAGAATTTTACTCTAACATTAATGAAGTACTTTAATTTAAAAATTCCATTTATTTTAAAATATTAAAATATGTGAAAAGCTGTAATAATGTACTTAAAATTCAAAATTAAAACTATATTTAAAAAGAGATTAAAGTAGATACAGGAAACAGGTACAGTTTGGTAATATGAAAATTAATAAATATATTATAAGCTGATGTATAAATATCGTGAAACATTATAAAAATCATAATTTCTTATGTAGGTAAAAATTCAGAAAGCAATATATGTAAAATTATTACAAAATTAAAACTTTGACTGTCATGTATACTTTTAGATTTGTGTTTTAGAAACAGTCTTTAATAGAAATATTAATATGAAACTAATTATTTAATATTTAAAGTCATCTAAAATGATTAAAAGGTTCGTACCACAAGCTGAGGACCTAACAGAAAATCTTCTATCATCCAAAGACCCAAAAGCTCCCAACAAAATGTTTTCAAGTTCTTCTTTTAAGTTGTCTGATAGTTTTAGTGGATTAAATTCTTCAACGCATCTGTTGTAGAGGAAGAAATTTTAAGTTAAAAAATAATTTATTATTTAAAATATCATTGAATTTTTTCAGTGTTCAGTTATTATTTTAAAAACTTACTTTTCACATGCATCTTTTAAGTCTTCGCTTGTTTTTTCGCTTGAAAATAAAATAAAAATTGCTTTCCAAAAGTGTTTTGAATAAAATATGGAAATGCATTTTTAAAAGAGATATAAACTGTGTAGCTAATTTTAATTGATTAAAAGAAATTTATTTTTAACTATAATGCATGATCATAATTTGCATCTTAAGTCATTGGACAAGAGAAATTTTTTTTTTTTATCATTTTAGCTGATGACCCTGCATTTAAAAGTTTTCAATTTCCCAAACGCATATTTCTTTTGATTAAATTTATCTTAATGCCCTGTTCTTAAGAGAGAAACATGTGAAAGTTAATTATTCTCACAAAGGGATGTATAAAATGGAAATTAAAGCACATTTGTTTTGGTATGGTAAAATTAATTTAGAGCTCCTTTAGACTGTTTTTACTTTAATCAACGTAGTTTTTGAAAGAAATATTTTGAGATTCTTCTAACATGCCATGTGCCTACTCGACTAGAAAATTTTTTATGAAAGCTTCTTTTAACACAGCTACTTATTTCAATCCCTAGCTTAAATAAATGAGGATGTTGGCTAAAGATAATAGTTCTTAGAGGGTATTTGATGCACCGTTGAAAAAGAAAAGTCTAATACTCAGAAAAGAAGTTAGATTCTATTAACATTAATTTCTGTTTAATTATCTTCTGTTGAAGATAATTAAACAGAAAAGTCATTTATTAAATGATACCGATGTTTTTCAAACATTCTTTGCAATAAAATATATTTTATCAGCTATTAAACCATATTTATGACATTTATGCTTTTCACTGAACAGTTTATTTTGAAATATGTTTAATTTCAAAGAGAGCTTTTTGTCGATTCTTTTCCCGATTTTTTTATTTAGAACTTTATCGTTGATTTCTTTTCTTACAGTATTAACAATGATTTTATGATATATTTCCAAAATGATTCCATTTGTTACTTTCATTGAATAACTAATTCAATAATTGTATGCTCTGATATGATTTTAAAAAATCCACTTTTTAGCAATTTTATATTTGGTTTCAAAACAACGTATTTTATGTTAAGATAGTGTTAAAATACTGACTTCAAATTTTGAAATTTTAAATATTGACCCTATACATAAACTTTTTCTTACAAAAATCTTGAAACTAAATTACAGGACGTTATGAAAGTTGCTTCTACGCACTGGGATAAGAATTCTGTAAATGCAAAATCTAATTTTTTATATGGACAACGTAGAGTGCACACTGGAATTGGTATAATTTTCATTACGTTTTATTTACTACTTAAAACGAAATGTTTCATATCTTAGGTTAAAACATTTAAGAGATATTTCAGAACAAATTGAGTCAGTCATTTTTTCATGCATGTCACTTAACTAACATAGACATCTGAAGTAAATTTCAGATAGTTTCGGTGAATAACGATTCCATCTTGTGTTAAAGCGTGTTATTATGCAATTTGTGTTTTATGTTGACCATATAAAAGTTCTTTTATTGAAACCTGCCACCAAGTATGTTGAAATTGCTTTCATAATAGTCTCTCCCACGTTTCAAGAGATTTTATAATCGGATGAACATGTCTAGTATTAATATTTGAGGCCTGCATCCATGTGTTTCGAATATTCTCTGTTACCGTTTACATATTACACATAACGAAAATGTAACTGTTTTTTAACTTACCAAGATACATCATACAGATGCTGAATGGCGTAACTCAGTATATTGTGCGTCTTAATATGGTTCTCAAATGCAGCTGTAGTAATTACAAATCCTTTTGGTACAACAAACTATAAGAAAGCATATAAATATAATATAATGCTGGATAATAATACAATGTGAAATAATGTGCAAAGTTAAATAGCTAATTAAATTTGAAATGATGCATTTTTTATAATATTGACTATAAGTTCTCTTATTTTTAACAGATATTACTAATTTTTAATAGATAATATATAACTAGCAATTTATGTAAAAAAAATTTAATGTGCAAACTCTGGCTAAAATGTTTTTAGACTAATTGAATATTAACTATCTGAATAGGCAACAAATGGAACTATGTAGTAAAAAACATTTTGATTCTAGTCTTCATATCAGATTAAGATGAGTTGAGTTATTAAGGAGAAAATTATCGTTTGGTGTTTGAATGTTATTTATGTTTGTAATGGAATTGTCTTTGGAACAAAGATGTGTGATAAAGTTTTGTTTTAAAAGTGACAAAACTGCTAGCAAAACTTATCAAATGATGGAGAACGCTTACGGTGAAGAGTGCTTGTGTTTGCTGCGTTCTAGAGTGTTTTTGTGTTTTGGTAGATATCGAAATGGTAGGGATAACGAAAGAACAGGACATCCTCGAACAAGCCGAACATCAAAGCTCTCAGTGCTGCTTTAAATCAAGATCGTCGATTAACTACTTGAATGCTTGCAGAACACTTAAACATTGATAAAGAAACTGCTCATACAATAATTGGTGAGGATTTAGTAAAAAGGAAATTGTCTGCACGTTTTGTTCATTAAACAGAACTAAAAAATAATCACGTGGCGGCTTGTCAGGATCTAAAAGACAATAATGAATCGTGATGCTTCGAACTACGATCCAGAAACAAAGAGACAGAGTTCAGAGTGTGTTGGCCAAAACTTGCCAAGTGAGTGAAGGTAATTGGGTTTTATGATTGATTCACCAAGAATTCGTTTCTAAAGGAAAGACAGTGAATGCGGTATTTTACATGTTTGTATTGAATTGGCCACTGAAACGCATCACAAGTATCAGTACGGATTTTAGTAAAAAAAAAAAAAAAAACTGGTTCTTCCTGCAAGCACGATAACGTACCGTCCCAGAGCTGTTATTCGTGCGTTTTTGGGAAAACCCAAAAGAATGAAATATTGTTTTCATTTCCCATTATTTTTTATGTTTGAAATATCTTTTCGCAAACGAATATAAAAAATATAATTAAATTGTTTAATGTCACCGAACAAGATAAAGGCTAGTGATATAATGAAACAGGTTAAATACATTTTGTATTCTGCAAATCAGGATAAAATCGAACTAGAGTTTTGGGTAGAAGTGAGACACAGCGTGAAGGAAATAATATAAAAACTAAAGAAAAACAATTAATTTTCCTTTTTTTTTTATCTAAGAATAGATTCCGTATGCTTTTAACAGAGTAACCCTGAATTTTGAGTAACACATACCACAGGTTCCTTTTTTGAAAGTTCTTTCATTAAAGCCAATGAACAGCCTTTTCCTCCGGCAATTCGGGAACTTTTGCACTCTTCATCAGTTAGAGACAGAATAAATTTTTCACTACTACTGCTAAGCCCTAAAATTTTAAACAAGAAATATTTAATTTATTTTAAAGTATTTCCAGCTCAACAGAAGTAATTGGTTTGGAATGTGAACCAAACTGATATCATTATTACTGTCCTCATCATCATTATCATTAATAAATAATACATAAATAAAATTATTTTCATTTTAAATAAAGCATTTATTTTGAAGGCGTTTAAGCTGATAATATTGTTCGTGCGTACGGGTTCGTAATAGATTGGTTGCACAAGTCCGATAAAAGGTTAATAAAACTTATTCTTATCAAAAGAAGTATAACAGAGTGCTGGTTCAGAGTACAAGTGTTCAGAATATCACGCAATATAACCAGTATTTATACTTTAAACTACTAAAAACGTTAAAATGCAACGAGAAAGCTAATCCAATCTCACGCTGAACTCGCAATAACAATAACAGCTATCTAAACAACTCCTGAAATAACAGTAACTAAGCAACTGAGCTTGACTTATGTCTTAACTTCGGGTAAGAGGCAATCGACCTATTGCGGCCTTTACCAATATATTATTCTTCACATTTTTAAGTCTTGAGAATCAAGGGAATTGAATCCACTAGAATGGAAAGTACTTGTACACATACTGTGCTAGAACTCAGAGATTTTTACTGGAGGCTCCAGTGCCGCCATCTGTTGAGATAAGTAACTTAGAAGATACGAGAATGCTCATGTGGCTCCATCTATTTTTGGAAATAAAAAGCTTCTCAGTAGGCTGGTGCTCCGGTGGCGCCATCTCTTGTAGGTTGCATCGTGAGGCATTTTTGAAAATATTTTTATACTATTCTTTAGATAAGCAATTATTGGCAAGTGATTATATGATGAACTAGCATAGTTTGTCACAGTAGAAAACGGTTCGCAAGAATAAAACTATATACACATAGTTTCACAAGAATAAAATTATATACACAAGTTTATACCTGCTTTGGCAGGGACAAAGTCCATAGAGCTTTGTAAAGTAATGCAGTAAAATGAAAAGTCAAAATAATAATAAAATAAAACTTGGCTAAATAAGTAAAGAACAAACAATATATATATACAATTACCACTGACTATTGTGGTGAATAGTACGGGGTCTTTTGTGGCGTTGTTCTACTGTGTAATTATAATTTCCGAGTTTCTTAATAATATTTTCAGGATGATTGTCGCACTTCATAAAGAAGTTATGAGATAATTTTAAAATTTCTGCATCTGTTAATTTTCGAGTCATTGTGTAAGGTGCTATTCCGCACAAACCAGGATGCATTTGTAATTATTCGAATTGCCTTGTTTTGAATCTTTTGAATTTTTGTGCGCTGAGTTCTTGTAGTAGCAGCCCAAGCTGGAGATGCATAAAGAAGAATGGGACGTATTGCCTGAAGATAAATTACTCTTTTTGTTGCTAGACTAAGTTTAGATTTTTTTTTCCTATGAGCGCACAAATACTTCCTACTGCTTGATTAGCTTTTTTGCATGTATTTTCAACGTGATCTTTGAACGTGAGTTTTTGGTCGAGATAAACTCCTAAATACTTGATGCCTTTTCCAATTGGGAATAGGGATGTTATTGATGATAATACTATTGAGATGTGTTCTAGGGTTCTTTTGAAAATAAATTGTAGTTCATTTGCTTTTGTTAATTTTAATTTTCCATGCACTGAACCACGGGAAAATATAATCTATTGCATTTTGTAGGTTTTGAACAGCTCTTTGAGGGATGATGGATTTGCTGAGAATGGCACTGTCGTCTGCTACTGAGCATGAGATGTCTCTTTTCGGCTTTAAATAGTTTTTAATCCGCCGCGCGAGATAGTTCTAGCATTTCCTGCTTCTCAAGATTTCTGGAAAGCAATAAGATGATGTAATTACGGTCACAGTTAACACAGTAGTGAATTACATTTATTCAATTTCAATACAAATTACCGAGATATCATTTTATTCAATGCTAAATGCACGTTCTCTTGTATTTTTACTTTTCCGGCATAGCTTCCTATTAAAAATTGTCACGCGCCGCATTGCAAGGGGGGGAGTAAAACAATTTAATTATAATTCTACTAAAAAAAAATTTAGCTAAATACAAATTTCGTAACAATATCACCATTTTTTATATTATGACTTTATGGCCGTTGCTTAAATTTTAATGTTTTATTTTATCTTGTTTTTATTTTTATATTTTGAACTGATATTCCAAGCACCGAAGAAATATTTTAGTTTATAATGACTAAAAACTTTTTCTGAAATGTACTAATGTAACGCATTAGCGAAATCACAGTTTTTCGACTTCTGCGTACCGCGAAACACTTCCTAATTTACAAACTTGCTAACAAAATTAGGTAATATTTCGCAACTCGAAGCTGTGAATTTAATTAAAACATAACTGAAGGTGAGCTCTAAGGCGACACGATTGTTCCTACCCTGAAGAGTTTGTCGTAAGATTACATACCGTATATTCCGAGCTGTAATGCTCACTTTTAGTAAAAAATAAATATAAGATCGAGGTTTACGGGTGCGCGAGTTACACGCCGAATATAAAAATGATATATTTAAAAATAAGAAATATGATCAAATAAAAATTAGATTTCTACATTCACCTAAATGCTGGTTATTTAAAAGAAATGACACAACTTATGTACTTAAAAATTTTCATTACAGGAGGGTTTCCTATACTTGAAGCATATTAATTATTTAACTTTCATTTACTCTGAGGAAACACCTGACTTCTAATTCCATGGCTTCATTCTGGTCAGAATTGCATTCTTATTCCGCATTATGTCTTCTTTTTTTATCAAAACTTTAGAATAACATTCTTGTGCACCCCTGCGTTGACCCACCCTCTTTGCAGAATTGTTTGCTCCCTCAAGAATTTTCCTCACACATATATAGTTCCCCTTATCGCTTTTCAATTCAATGTACTATTGTTCGAAAGTCTGGGGAAAATCTTCGAATGAATGACTACAAAAGATTAGAGCATCGAACATGTATCTTTTAGGTCTCTACTCAAACAAAAAGGTGCCCGTTGTGCTACGAATATAATTAAAAATTAAAAAATGTCGTTTGAAATTATAGGTGTGCGCCAGAATATATGGCATATAAATGCCAATATACTTGCACTAAAAACAAGGTTTATTATGGTTATTAGGTTTTATTAGGTTATTATCAAATGAAATTACTTGAAACATTCATAGACATATTTATATATAATTTAAAACAGTTCGCTTGCCAATTTCTTAACGTATAATTTTCGTGTTTGATTACGTATCTACTTAATGTCAATTTTTTGAAAAAATAGAGCTTATTATGCACTAACTCTTCTAGTTTAATATACGAAGAACTTCAGGGATGATGTACCCTGCAGATCGCGAAGCTTGCAAATCTATCTACGCAGATCGAAACATGTGAGTGCATTGAAAGAAAATCGCAGTAAAATAATTTCAGGAGAAATGTAATTCACCTTATATTAAACTGTAATAATAAATGTAAATATTTTGCATTTGAAACAGCGTTTTAAACAAAAAAACCAGACTAAACATTCATTTCTTTTCTGAATGAAAATATCTCTTAACTGTCGTCATCTAATGAACCCAACATTTTATGCCTTAATAAAAATTAAAGTAAAGAAAAAAATGTTTATACTATAGTAGTCTAGACATTGTTAAAGAATTTTATTAATTATAGTAGGTTTTATCGCTCTCTTAACGAAAGATAAATTTAATTGTGAAATCTTTCGTAAAATTAAAACTCTCTGAATGTAGTTCTATTTAATTAGTATGGGGAAAAGTTTTGAATGCAAAGTGAAGGTTAGTAGGAAAAGGGGTATCTTGTTGATACACAGTTCCTTTGTTAATTCACTGTTTAAAATATAGCGGAAGAAATAAAAAGACGAGATCGATAGTATATGGTGTCATACCTAGTATAAGGTCTTTAACCGAGATACATGGTTATGGTGTCAGAAACTATTTTATTTAAATTAAAAGTTCTCATAAATTGTCAAAAATTTGTTTTAAAATGAAATGAAATTACTGCGGGGATGTCGTAGTTCGAATAATATATAATCTAATCATTTCATACTATTTTAAACAATTTTAATCTTCGTACTATATAAACAATTATTAAAGAATTACATACTTTTTAATATAACTCGCTTTATTACACTAATACATAATGCAGTGTTTTAATAGTGGCAGATAAATGAAAGCTTTTGTACTGTTTGAGTTGCTGGAAAAGAGTATGCTTTATTTTTCTGCATAACGGAGTAATTTCCAGTTTGGGAGTTAGCAAAATATTCACCTCTTGTAAGGTAACTATTATTAGCCTAATTCTTGAGAAGGAAACATAAAAGTATAAAATTTAAGATAACTTAGCATTCAATGAGAAATCCTCCTCGATCCTTAATAATAACAAAATACTGCATTAAAATTTGTATTACCTCTGTCTTTTAGGATAATAGGTGGATACTGAAGGGGATATACCAAACTATCCTTCCGTCTAGATATAGGAAAAGAAAATAAATATTGCATAATTATACAAACTATTACTAATATAAACTATTAGTATTTACATTGAATAGTTTCTATTAAAATATTTATCGAAAAATTCTTTGATTATTTCATTAAGTAGTATTTATAAGTATTTATATCGATTTTGACTATTATCACTCTTAACCATTTATTTCTTCTTTTTGGGATTAATTTCATACAACTGTAGCAGATTATGAAAGTAATTACATCAGATGTAGTATTATTGTAAGGGTTCTTATTTCTTAATAAATTAACTTTAAAACATTCGTATAATAAAAAATACAATTAAAATTGATCATTTCGATCATTTAAAAATCTGCTTTAAAAATTTTCCCAATAAATTATTTTTTTCATTTGTTTACTTTCTTCTAACATATCTTAAGAAATTTCATGATATGAAGATAAACATATGTGAAGTTTTCTCTTGAATTCTAAAACTATTTGCATGACAATTACATACAAAAGTTTTTTTTTTTAATTTTCCGCATATTTGATTATTTATACGAAGAAACATTTTATTTTAGTTTAATATTAAGAAATTTATTGTTTGAATATTCCTATTTGCTTGAACTTTTTGGTGCCTTTTAGTTAGAGTAGTTTAGTTTTGAATTTAAATTTTATTCAATCTCGAATCATGTTAGAACAAATTATAGTGCAAAAATGTTACACTGTACAATGCTTCACTCTTCCCTTACCGTGTTACAACAAAATGAGTGCTGTAAGGAGAGTAAGGGCTGTAATGCTGTAACGATACTGTGTCACATAAAGCATTACTTATTATTTAAAAACATCCTATATCTGAATCTATGACGTATTTTTTCATGACCTACAGAAAAGTATTTATTCATCCAATCATTTATTGCAAAAGATTTATGATAAAAGACATCGAAATAAGTGTTTAAAAATCTGATTTCTGTATTGTCAGTAGGATAATTAAACTATTTATTTAAAGAAAAAATTCCATCTTCTTATCCACAAAATGTAAGTACAATCTTACTGCAATAAAGCTGCCATTAATGCATCCAAACCCACTGATGCATTCCTGGAAAGCATGTCAAAAATTACCGATATAAAATTTTTATTTTTCGCCATATATCTTCAAAATTGTCTCAAACTGTTGTTCTTAATCTTCAAAACTGTTGTTTCATTAGTAGATTGCACTAATTATGCTTTTTAAATTATAAAAAGATCTCTTTCCAAATGCAGACTTAAAGAACCAGATGGACTATGGAAAGCACATGAAAAGGTATGGAGGAAAATCCTACTTTTAACAGTAAGAAAGATTATTTATAACAGTAATCAAGATGTAACTTCAGAGTATAGAAGAAAGGTAGAATATGTAAGAAATAAGCATTTTTATTTGAACTTTAATTATAATTCAGGAAATATATTTTAAAATGTGTAAGCATTTTCTGTGCATTTTATGAATATTTTATTTTCCATTCTGCAAAGAAATGCTCGAAATATTTCTTAATTTTTTTAGTATTATTACTGAAATAATTTCACAAACAAGTTTGAAGCTATTAACTTTACTCACTTGGCACTTAAATGAAGAATGCCAAAGCCTTCTTCGCAATTATTCATAGTGGCATTGAACGGGATAATCAATAAGGAATTCTCTAAATCAGGACCAATGTAAAACTCTGCTCCTTTACCGGTAAATTGAATGGCACATTTTCTCTCTTCTCCTCCTTCTTGAGAAATAGAAAAATATGTTACCGAAGCTTAAAAGTAAGGTACTAGAATCAACGTGTTACTAACGCTTGAAGTGCGCGGTTTCATTTATATTGGGATTTAAAAAAAACTAAAAAATTAAAATATAAATTTGGTAATGTGAAATATCAAAAGAACTTTAGAAACTTCTAATATTCATAAAATGAATTAAGCAAGTGTTACTTTATTTCATCACTTATTTCTGTAAAATTAATAGAAATCTATTATAAAAAAGATTTAAAAATTTGTCTCTAGGTTAGCAAGCATTATACTCTATGAATAATTGAAATATAAACGAGCAAAAAATAAATCATAGAATTGATTTTACTCTATACCATTGGAATATCTCCGCATCCATTTTTGCCAAGAATTAACATTGGACTGATCTGAGATGTTGTGATTGTCTGCTCAAAATGCACCATATGATGCTAATTACCTCAGCTTGAATAATAATTTTTCTGTAAATTTGAAATGCATTAAAGCGTCATTCCCTGTCAGTTCTCAGTTAGTTTTCATTGCAGCAAATGCTTACATAATGCAATAATTCAGGTGCAAAGCGTTTAATTTTATTGGCACTGCAAATGCTGGAATATTCCAAGAAGAAAAGGAAAGCCACAAAAAAAAAAAAAAAAAAAAAAAGTTTAATTACTTTGCAAATACTGTATACGTTTCAATCATCTCATTTGTTGTAAAAGTTTTCTTTGCTTATGATCCTTAAGTAATTACCAACCGCCACGCGTTTTTCGTGGTATAAATGTTTAACATGCCCACCTAACCGATTGAAAAATCCGAGGTTCAAATGCAGGCGCTGGCATAGTTGATTTTTCGTGATTTTCGCTTCATTTGGGTTGCCTTCAAGTGAAAACGAAGTGGGGAAAGAGAGCTTTCCTAGTGACGGAACTTCTCCTCAGTAGCTATCGTTTCATGGCCCTGCAATAGATCAAAGCCCACGTACAGCACGAGAGATACAAACGCGGCAACATATTGGCAAAGAAGACAACAATCCCAACCATAGGGCATATCTCCGACCCGGAGTCGGCGTTGAAAAGAAAAGTGGATGCATGCTCCTATGACGTAAATGGTTTGTTCTTCTAGCAAGTGGAACATTCATAGTTCGAATCTCATCAATAGTACAATGGACTTTTTATATTTCCTATTCCAGAATGACCTACCAATTTCTACATTGGCACTTAAATTAAAATATGATGGACGATAACTCATCGTCACCTAAATTTGTTCAACTGGGTTTCATGCATTTTCACATTTAACTTTTACGTGGACAAAATACAAGAAATTATTGCATTTACTATGCATACTTTGTAAGGATCTTAAGTTTTACTAACGTTTATTTTATTTTAAATCTTTACTATCACTTCTTATTTTCTACTTCGGCCGAATTATAAGCGTTAATGTTTTATGAAAGTTTGTCTGGCGAACCCAAGTATTTAAGTTGGCTTTTTGCCAAGCGAGAGAGAGGAAGCAGTTAGTCGAAGCAGGCAGTTACTTAGAGTTTACTCAGTTGCTGGTTGCCGTCCAGGCCAGAGTTTTATCCTCTTGATAATTTTTAAACGTATTGTAGTGTTCACAGTTCTCTGTACTACATACGCTTCCTGTTCTAAGGCCATCTTCCAGTTTATTTTAAAGTTAAATAGAGTTTAGTTCTATTTTTTATTTTTTCGTTTAGACCCCAAGTAGCGGGTCTGTGTATTCCGAAGTACGGAAGTTATTGTAAATAGAGAAAAAAAAGGGTTTGTATACCCTTCTTGTGTATCCTGTCTGCTTCCCACAGTTTTGAACATAGCTTTAGTAAGCTCTCTGTTCCGAGTCAGTCCTTGCATGTTCCCGAAGAAGGTTAGACGGAACATTGAACCTGATAACTTTCCTGATTTCTGCTTAGCAGATCCATCTGGCAGTTTAAAGATCTGTGCTTCGAATATCAAGAACGACACATCTGAGTTTTCATGTTTCACAAAGAAAAATTAATAGTAGTCCTAGTGTAGTGTTCATAATACGTATAACACCTACAATATTTTAAAACCGATGAACCAATGTTAATTCGGTTATGTGTCATTCTGGTGTTTATGTGATCTGTAAGGCTTCTGGTAGCAGCAAGATATTTGTTATTCAGTGTCTTAGAAGTGTAAAGTTACACGTGGATTCGGAACTAGACAGATTTTTAGTGTCCTTGCCTTCGCGTGATTCAAGGATCAACTTTAAAATTTAAACAGGAGAAATAAATACAGGAACTCTTAAAATATCTTATAAGTAATCAAATAAAAGTATTTACGAGATTGAACTCACTCAATTGAAATGAAAACTCTAGATTTGATTCCTTTCTTTTCAGGCGATTTAAACTGATATTACAGTTAGAGATATGGCATCTTTTGTTGAAACCGTCGATGCTGTACCCAGATGTATAACTGTCGTAAAAAATAAATCATAAATTTAACATATGTATGTACATATTTAAAATCCAAATTTATACAATCAATATCTAAAAAATTAGAAAACATTTTCAATAGTTTTAGCCGAAATTTCAAAATGTAAGTACAATTCTGCAAGTTAAAATAAAAGTTATAATAAAATAAAATCGAACGATTTTGTTGCAGATGTTTTGTATATGAAGTAGGAAACATATTTTATTAATTACAGTAATTTATGACTGATCTAACTATCTGCACTGCCATTAGGGGCTTAACAAGGCTTAGTGGAGCTATTTATTGAAGAAACGTTGAAATCTAAAACAAGGCCTAAATCAGACACATAAGCAGCAGAACAACCACCATACTATTTAAAATAACTTTAAATAGAATTAACAACTAAAATATGAACTTTAACAAGGGGTAGTGTGCAAGATGATACTGTGCTGGACGCTCCCTTGCGCGCCCAGCACATTCATCACGATTGAATGTGTTCCCAGTGGTTAGACTGTTAATCAAAACTACCACATATAAGTACTAAAAAGACTGTGAAAAAATTAGGAAAAAAAAGGCCGCAGTTGGGGAGTGATGGATGGCTGTTGTACCAGACAATGCACACGCTCACACGGTCCTATCTGTCAAACAGTTTCTGACCAGCAAAAACATTTCTGTGATGGGGCATCCTCTTTATTCACCTGATTTGGCTCCATGCGACGATTTTTTATTTCCTAAAGTTAAATCTTACTTAAAAGGAACCCATTTTACCTCAGCTGAAGAGGTTCAGGCTAAAACGGAAAATCTCCTGACGGGCCTTCCAAAACCCTCGTTCCAGAACTGTTACCAGCAATAGCAGCACCGAATGCAAAAGTGTCTGAATGATGAAGAGAAATACTTTGAAGGTGATAATGTCACGGATAACTGATTTCGTAAGTACAATGATTTATTGGACCAGTCTTCTTTTTTTGGGGGGGTGTCACATCATGTACGTTATTACATACTTTGTAATACAAAATATAACACATGTTACTTACATGCATAAAAATATGTTACTTACATATAAAAAGAAACAAAATAGCAGAATAATATAAACATAGAAGAAGAAAGTTTTAAGAAAAACAGACAGAGAAATTTTAAACACAATCAATATATAAATTCATTTCGTTCACAGATACACATTTTAAGAAATTTGACAATTTCAATTTAGTCACTGTATTTTTACATAGATCACTTAGAGTATTAAAATTGGAATAAATCTTAGAACAATAAGTTTCATAGAAGAGCATCTAAATAACAGGTGCTCAAGATCGACATTACTCATGCCACAAGGATAGACACAAGTTTTAATCGAAAACGTATTATAATAAAGTGGAAAATGTCCCTGATTATTTTGTAAGGTCTGTCTCTTCTTTTCCACATAAATTAAATTATATGCTACAATGAGCCTGGCGAATTCTCGAATAGGCGTGAATGAAATACCAGCATAGATGATCGGGGAAAATAACCTTTATTAATTCCAACTAATAACAGAAAGGCAGGATATTGCTTTACAGTAACACATAAATTGCGGAGAAACTTAAACGTAGAATATAAATCAGTTCAAAGTCTAATTACAATACTGCTGGATTAACACGCTAAAGTATGGCTAAACTTAGGTTGATTCAATAAAACCTAACAGGCGTGACAATTATCCGAAATGGCCAAAGGGCGTACTAGAGTAACAGCGAGATAGCAACGAAATGTGCGTTGGCTAGGGAAAACACGTTGTGAATAAATTCAGAGAATCATCCGTTTAAATACTCACTTAACTTTAAATTTACATTATGGTGAGGAAATGTGAGGGGAAGTTGAGAAGTTCCGGAAAGGTATCAAGCGTAAAATAATTTGTTATGCAAAATAAGGTAATCACTGCAAGTTAAGGCTTGGTAAGATACTTGTTACTAAGGCATCTTATCTCAGTTATAGTTGAGACTAATTTATATGTGAATCATCCTTTAGAATCTGGATCGTTCAAATTTGCTTGCCAAAGAGTCAGACTTCTGTTTAACAAGGATTTCAAACTATCAAAGAAAGTCTTTACTTCAAAATCAATGATTTGATTTTCAGTGGCAGGCTTTGCCAATCTATCTGCTAACTTGTTACCAATAGTTCCAATATGACTCTTCGTCTAAAAGAGTTTAATATCTCTGAAAGCGCTAAGAAAAATGAGCATATCTTTTATCTTTTTAATAAAACCGTCACTTGGACAAACGTCCATAATTGAAGCAATCGCACTCTCGCAGTCGCTATACATTTCAACAGGTGTGTGTGTGTGTGTGTGATTATGGCAAAGCCTCGAGGGCTATCTGCCTAAGGAGAGGAATGCCTTCGTGGAGAACTTTCTAAGGGAAACTGGCTCGTATACACGTTACACATGGGAAAAAACCACGAAAACGCCCATGCAGCCAACCCGTTTGCGGGATTCGGACCTCGGATCGCACTACCAGCCTTCAGCGACTTTACCGCTTGGTCGCTGGTGGGCCATTTCTACAGGATCTTGCGTAAAATTAGAAATAAGCCAATATAAAGAATCCCACAGAGCAACTTACTTTGCCCGATAAAAGACAGAGGCATTGTCAAAGAACGTCTATATTTCCTTTGTATGCTTAGTTTCTCGTGTGAGAACGCGCGAAAGGCTGCCCCCACATGGCCGTTTAATTTAGATTCATCTGTATAAACAGTGTCCCCCCGTGTGTTGACTCAGGCGAACGCCTGGGAAGTACTGGTTAGGATCTGTACCTAGGCAGTCTCAACCACGGGGCATAATAACAAACTTCATAGAAGGCCTGAGGGCTCTCAGGACAGAGTAAGGCTCGGCATGGACCGTACTGGTACTGCCTTGTCTGCCCTTGCTTTGTAAGGTCACAACATTGTCGATTGATCAAAGGCGGGGCGGCACTTAATCCCGTTTGGCGCCATTAAGGTCGCATTATGTCGGGAGCCGTCTCATTCCATCAGCGTTGTATAAACAGTGTAGCCTGTTATATTAGGGAGGCTTTTATGCCAATTCAACTTTTTCAATAAAGCCGGATGATAGTCCAATCCTTTCTCAAAGTCAAAATCTCTAGCTCAAAAGAATAACTGAAATCGCTCTCTGCTCATGACGGAAATTTGAAACAAGTGGTACGTTCACTAAATGGAATTTTGAATTTTCTGTAAGTTGCTTAGGTGATGCATCAACCGATATCGGGTTGAAAAATTCAACCTAGAAGACGAAGGCTCTTCCGTACGTATTTCGGTAGTTGTTGCCTTAAGATCATACTTAAAGACGAAGCGATATGGGCAAAGCTTCAGACGCCTCGTCCGTGTTATAGGCACAATACTATGAGATAACCAATATTAACATTACAAAGTAAACAGGGAGCAAACGTTTTACGGTGTCCAAATGAAATAAAAGTTGCTAAAACATGATACATCATATTTATGGGATGATCTGGCTAATAAGGAGTATGGCCAATGCGCATGGCATTATGTCTCACAATGGGCCTTCGCTGTTGTAAATGAGGTTACTGATCAGAGGTTGCTAGTTGTTGATTTGTAGTAATAAATCTTATTCTTCTAAAAGCGTGGATTTTAATATCTGGAGGATCTTGGGAGACATATAGTACTAGTCGCAGTGTGTAAAGGGCTAAGTTCCTAGACTTCTGTATACAGTTTGTCTGGAAATTCTTATTTCAGGGACATTCTGCGATTTTCCTGTATGGCTATCTCTGTGGAGACCATCATCTCTGTTAGCGGATGGAAAGTAGACACAAACGTTCGTTATTGCGTTTATTAGACTGTGTGAAGAACAAGTTCGTATAATAGATATACGGGTAGTTCGGCGCTCGCAGGCGCCCTCTTGCAGGGAACAAAATCAAAACTTACATAAGGCGCAAACATGCCGCCCACCTTGAAATATTATTTCAACATTCAGTGCTTAAAATTCAGTAAATTTAAAACACAATACAATATTAAAATCATGATACAATTACTTAATTTATAATACATATGAAGTTAAAACTCAAATTGGTAATGGACACAAGTTTTGTAATATTTCTTTTAACCATGCCATCTGAAGTCTTAATAGTCACAACCCTAACAATTTTATCAAGACCAGGATGTAACTGAGTAATTCTATACCCATTTTTCATTTAGTTGGAGGTAAGTTATCCTCCTTTATGAGACACAGGATCATTAAGCTTAAAGAATTTTTAGTTGGCAAAAGCCATTTTGGTCTTTGTTGTAATCGCGACACAGATATTCTTTGTGCCAACGCTTCCAAAATTGTTGGACCATTTTTTGAATATGTTGCCATCTAGTGAGATGGGAAACTTCAATGTAATTTGGTTCAGGAATGCTTGTTAATAATCTACCAATAAGAAAATGACCAGGCGTTAATGCTGATAAGTCATTTGGATCATTAGACAAACTTGTTAAAGGTCGCGAATTAAGACAAGCTTCTATTTGTGTGAGAAATGTTTCAAATTCTTCATATGTCAATCTCGTCTCACCAACTACTCGTTTTAAATGGTATTTTGTTGATTTTATGCCAGCTTCCCAGAGTACACCCATATGCGGCGCACCTGGAACGTTTAGATGCCATTTAATGCCATTATCAAACAAATATCTCCTAACATTTTGGTTATAAGTTGCAGACCTAGCAAGCCTTTCAAATTCCATCAGTTTGCGTTTTGCTCCAACAAAATTGGAACCACAATCGCTATATATATCACTGCTTTTGCCTCTGCGGGAAATGAATCTCTTAAGAGCTGCAATAAAAGCATTTGCTGAAAGATCAGTCACTAATTCTAAGTGAATAGCTCTTGTCGTAAAACAAACAAATAGAGCTATATATGCCTTGAATGACCTAGAGCCTCGACCCTTATTTGCTTTAATTTGAAAAGGACCTGCGTAATCCACTCCACAGCGCAAAAACGCAGGAGCAGGCGAAACGCGACTAGACGGCAAATCGCTCATCAATT